TCGCATTTGCACTCACTGAATGTCTAAACGGAAAAATATGTTTGCAAAAACCCTATCCTTTAGTGCCAAAACGTATAAATGCGTTTCTGGTGTTTTTAAGAAAAAAAAAAAAAAAAAAAAAAGGGGATGGAACAGGAGAGGATAATCTCGCTTAGAGATGCTTCGAACCTCAATCCGCAGATCAGGCGCCAGGGCCGGCCATTGTTCTTTTCTTCCGTTTGTTTGCCTTTCTTCTGTTTTGAACTAACTCACCGCTTCGTATTCCTCCTTCCGGGTCAGCAGGGCATCCAGTTCTTCTTGGAGAAGAGCCAGCTCCTGGGACAGAATGAGGTGGGAAAATTAAAGTGACGGTCCGGCCGGTATGGATATTTTTGGGGCACACTTTACAAAGAAAGTGGCACAACAAATACCTGTAGCAGCTCCTCATTGGCTGTCGTCATGGTGAAATATTTCTCCTGCTTTGCAGCCGGCATGGCTTGGACAATCTCCTCGGCAACACGCCTTTCCTTCTTGATTTCTTCTTCAATGGCCCTAATGGCGTCCTCTCTTCTGCAGAGCAAAGACACATGAGAATAAAGGATGGGAGGAAAGAGGCACGCGACAACAAACGATCCCGAGATTTGGTCAGAAACAGTCAGAGAGAAACCGGAATGAAATTCTCCAAAAAAGAGAATACCAGACTACACTAAAAAAAAAAAAAAAAAACATGAAACATAAAAAGCATGACTGTATATGTTCTGTATGTGTGTGCAGAAGTGTGCTGCGAGAGTTGACTTCATCGTCGCTTGGGGCTGTGCACGAACAAGGAAATGTGCACCGACGAGCGACGTGATCAAACAACTGTTCTCTCCAGTAAAATGTTGCATGTAAGCTTTTCAGAGTTTACAACAACGGGCAAAGGTCCTTTGCTGCGCTGGCTGCGACAGGGTTGACACGCGAGTTCATCATCTTGCTTCTCACAGAACAAAAAGGTATGTGGCTCGTGTTGATACTTAATACTATTGAGAAGACAATCAAGAGCTGCGAGGAACAATACGCTCGCGGGTAATTCCTCTTTACAGGGGTGTGTGGTTGGGGGGGGAGGGGGGGTTAACTCACCAATAGCACGTTTGCCTATCACTGAAAAAAACGATCGATACTTCTGTTTGTCCGCATGAATTATGTTCACCTCAGTCACTTTCTTAATGGTGCCGGAAACTTTTTACTTTGTTCCATTTCAAGGAGGCAGATTATGGGCCAGCCCCAGCAATTGATCCACTTACTGTGGTTGGTCTCTTTCGTAGCAATATGGACAAAGAATAACCACGCTACGGCTGCCGTGCGAGATGTACACGTAAGGATTCTCTCTTATTTTGATCTGATGTAGCACAGTCAGCAATGCCAGCTGGTCCAAGTATAGTTTTCATGGTCTCACCATCCATTCACGCTTATGTGGCAGGTGCGTAACTTAACCAACGTGTTTCTGAAAGCTATCCCCCCCGGCGACAGCAACTCATCTGTGACTAGTCTTGTGGTTGAGAGGAATCAGATTACGCTGTCCAATGAGGACAAAATATCCTTGGCCGGTTATCCCCAACTCGTGGAGCTCCACCTGGATCTGAACCGGGTGACCTACATACCTGCTAGGTACCTGTCGGTTGTGCCCAACCTCAGCGTGCTGTCGCTATCCAACAACCAAATCAGCAGGTAAATAGACATTTAAAATAATACATAAATAACTGCAATTTTGTAGATATTGATATTCGCAGTAATTTCCTTTTATGATCCTTTGACCAAAAGGTCAACATCAGTGTTCAAGTCTTTTTACGACCACTGCCATGACTGTACATTTATTCCAGCCTAGTACCCGAGTCTTTCTATGGCCTCGATGCACTCCGAGTGCTGAACCTGTCCCACAACCTGCTGACAAGTCTTCCCGCACAGCTATTCAGACCGCTTAATGATCTACAGGTAACGAATCATATACTTGAATCCCGAGACATTTACAGCATTGCGCAAAAAGTCTTGGGGGAGGAGGGGGGGGTGGCAACGATAGCTTTGTCATTGTAACGACGGCTTTTGCAGTATTTTAGAAAGCTTCAATAATATATTTTAAGGGACATTTGTATTGGCGACTGACAATAACCGGAATAAGTGGAAAATAAATGTGGTTTGATCACCATAAAGGCAATATCCTGATCCACTCTGAACTCTGTTAGGTGGTAGACCTTCAGGGCAACCCGTGGAATTGCTCCTGCCTTCTGCTGAGCAGCATTCAGGAGATAAGAGCAGCAGGAGTCACCATGGGTAAGAAATCTTCACCTCCGCCTTTCGTAACAAACATCTTGAGAATCACGTCATATGAATAAATCAGGAGCAAAACTATTCAGGAGTGATAATACTGCAATTCTTTCTGTATTTCTATTTAAATGTAGTCAAATGCGCAATCCTAATATATGGTCAATCCGTAGTAGATAATCACTGTCATGTTTGGATCCACAGCAGGGACAAATACGACATGCGCTTCACCTGAGCAACAAGCTGGAACGGATCTCTTCGAGGCTCTCACTAATTGCTATCCAAAATCAGCGGACCCCTCAAATCCACCATCCGGCACGGCAGGGCACTCTCAACAACCAAAGGTGCCACCCAATTTGCCAAAGGTTACGCTGACCACCAGTCCAGACAACAACGGTAAGAAATATCCAATTTTATAAGAAGCCGTGTGAATAGCTGTCTAAAAAAAAAGACTGTTTTCAACTGAAACTAGCCCAAAAGCCAGCGCCCGGGAACACTTGGAGGTTCGCGGCGTGTGTTGCGGCCTTGGCGTTGGCTACATCCATACTGATCGTGTGCGCCGTCAAAGGCCCCTCCTGGTATCGGCTCTTCCACAATTACAGACATAGACGACTACAGCAAGAAGACAACCCAGAGGGCCGCGCGGCTTCAAGCATCTACTCAGAGACGGACAGGGGACACATGAGCCAGAAGACGTTCACCTTCGCGCACCCTGAAGGCGAAGAGGACCTGCACTACTTTGAGGATCCGTACGTCAAGGCAGAGGAGTAATGGCAAGGTCGAGCGGGCGTGAGGATTAAACCGAAAGACTTGGAGCAGACTGAGCCACATCAAATGATTATAGCATCACCAAAGGCAATAAAATATTAGCATCATTCAGTTTATTATTTATAATGTCTTATTTTTTTAATGAAAGCAAATCTATTCACTGGAAAATCGGCTACTTAGCTGAGACGTCCTTTTTTTTTTTTTTTCCTCGCCAGCTGAGGGCAAAAATTCAACTCCTCCGAAATACTTACTCTCTTCTCTCAATAAAGATGCTGTCGATGCTTTCTGCCTCTCTGTCATTTTGAGCTTTCAGCTGTTTGGAGGGGAAAAAAAAGTGAAATGGTATTACAATTGATCATTGACCATTCTTTGACTTTTTTTTTGTCCTTTCTGGATCATTTATTGAGAGCAAAGCTTATTGTCTGTTGACGAAGCACACTTACACTGTTGTAGTCGTTGATCATTTCCTCCATGTCTGAGTTGGTGTTGAGTTTGTCCATCAACTACACATGAAATGACAAACAAAAAAAAAGTCAATGTATCAAAAGGATCTCCATAGTGATCAATTATGATTCCACTTGAGGTAAAGAGGCTTTTGGTATTTTTCTAAGGCGCCATAGGTCCGCCATGTTTATCTATATGTGGGAAAACGTGGCAAAAAAATAAATTAATTAAAGTCAGCAAATCAAGTGTAAAGAGCTCAGGTGGCTTACCATGTTGTAGTCAGCGAGCTGGCCCTGCAGATCCCTGATTTCTGCAGCCAGACTTTCAGCCCTGGGGGAACAATGGACAAATAGATCCATAAATTTGATCAAAAAAATGTATTGATTATCAACTGCAACTCAGTCACCTGTGCCAACCGAGATGGCCACTTACCTCTTTTCATAGGACAGGTAGACGGAGTTCTCCTGGTTGAAGGTGTCGATCTCTTTGTGGAGTTTGCCGATCTCTGCGGTTAACTCGTTGATCTTACTCCTAACACAATCGCAGCGACAATTAATTGGACGCCGGTCATGGGCTTGGATGTAACGGCTTCAGTCTACACTTTCAGATGGGTGAATATAAATGATTTAAGGTATAGGTAAAATATTTTTGATCACCACCACCCTCACCAAAAAAAAGTAGAAAGTGGCAGAGGTATGAATATCTGCGTGTTACCTGAGAAGACCCAAGTAATAAGACTTGTCCAGAATTTGTCTCTGAGGTCCTTCATGGGGATGGCGATGACATGGTAGTGAGAGACAATACAGAATGACAATTCATTGCATCCTAATTGCTCGATAAATGTGCTTAAGATCTACATTTTCTCAATGCATGAAGACTGTTTACTAACACGCAAAATGAACTTAAAAAATGCATTTCTGTGTTCCCTGCTTCCTTCCACTTTGGGTCCACAAGGCTCTGCGAGTTGTGACGACTAGAAAAACTTTCTTACCCTTCAACCCGGTCTTCATACCACTGAGGCCTTGTTGCGTCACAGGCCTATCGGTCACTTTGATCTGTGCGGACAGGACTCCAGTAGTAGTAATTAGAGCCCTCACGCCAGGATGAACACCCGTACCCGGAACCATCTGGAGGATGAGTAGAAGAAACTCCATTTAGCAAAACCGGAAATACGGGTGGTTTATAGAAAGCAGCTGAGCCTTGGTAAAGATAAGTTATGTGATGCATAGTTTGAGAAAACAGACTGAAATGTAGTTTAACAAAAAACACATCTAACATACACATAGTGGAAGTACTGCAAACATTGTCGTACCCCAGTTGGTATGCGTATGGCCGTAGGAGGAGGTCGAACTGCTGTTAAAGGTCTTCCGCTTCCTGGTACCGCTGATCCAGTACGACTGATCGGCCGACCCATACTGGAGGGAGGCCGCTGACTCGACATCGTGCTGTAACCTGTAAACACATGACATACTGTAAATGTAGTTGTCTTTTTTTGTGCGGTTTAAGTGTTACACACCGTACATGTGTTTTTTGGGGTTTTTTTTTTTTTTGGTATGGTTGTTGTTGAAGTGAAATATTACTGTGCTGTATCATAGCGAGTGTGGATAATGCAGTCCCACATGCGTTGACTTATGGTGCCAGCCAGGTGATTCGCAAAATATTTGAATCAATGCTTTTGGTAACTGTGCACGTATGATAACTTAATGAAGTGATTTGACAATTAAAACAAATTTCGGCTCGCGATGAAAAAATAGGTTTGAAACACGCATTAAAACAAACGCTGTAAAATGTATTGACCACCCTTCTGTCAATGCAAATGCCGATTAATTTGTTTGCTCAACCTCGGTTTGTGGATGCTTTGCTATCATGTCTGTAAATTGTATATAGAAGCTGCAGCTACCTCTATATACAAGCAAGACTTGCATGGCGTTACTGTTGGGCATCATTTCGTCGTATAGATCGTTCTGTCTTGAAAAATTACTTGACCGCTGTATGCATGTTTATATGTTTTGTATCGCTGCAGCATTCGCCTTTTTGTACATGAGAAGCAGCAAGCCACTAAAAGACAGCACTGTCATATCGCGACATGATTTTCGCAAAAACATAGTACAGTACCTTGAATGCCGGTTTGCCTTTTTCGCCAATATTTCAAAAGTTTATGTCGTTTGTCTTGAAGTTTGTCCCCGGAGCTAGCAAAAGAATCACTTTGCAGGAAACCCTCGGCTTTGTTGTTACCATGGCAGCTTTCTTCATTGCTGACATTGTGGCGTCGTTTAAACAAGAAAAGGCGTACTACTGCCACCAGCTGTCAATATTGTGTAATGACAGACCCTGTGTTACTTTGTCATTTACTGTATCTGTAACAAGTCCCGGTACTTCTACACTGTATATATAATATGCTAACATAACTTTTCAAATATGAAATTTTCAAATAGCGCTTTTTGTTTTTGTAAGTGTGTGCGTGTGTGTGTGTGTTTTCTCCCCTATGTCGTCAATTCATGGGGACGTCAGCAAGAGATGGCGTTTCATTGACGCACACCACAACAGTCGTCTCCGTGGTTGAAAATGCATCCCATGTGATCATAAATTAATAAAGTGGGCATGTGTTGCAATACAAATTTTACTGTATGAATTATGATAAAAGTAAATTGTGAGCCACTAAATTAAACGAAATTTGATCCACGCTGTTCAGATCCACTGTCGTAAAACACAAATACAGTATATGAAATACTGTCCAAAATAAAACAAGACACTTCATCATACCTCCACGTTGAGCCACGGACACTGTTGAGCATCTTGGGTACGAGTTGCACCACTTTTACCAGCGCAAAATGACATGTCGCGATCGTGTTGTGTGCAAGTAATAAAAGTTCATACGCGACACTCTCACGGATTCACAGCGTCGGAATCAATAATGGCCACGTTCAAGTTTGCGTAAACAGAACTGTTGTAAGAATAAGGAAAACGTGTTTGAAGCGATATTGTTAGTTGGCTTCATGCACATACGTCCGACACGGAAGATATGCTTCATATCCCAGAAAACGCCACTTGAGGACTAGAGGACAGGCGGACTTGTGTAAATCACTTTAGCAGTACTCGAATCGTCAATATTTTTTACGAATATATTTTTTGTCGACACTTTTGCAATGATACACCGCTCGTGTGGAGTACTGGCCTCTTTGGATATTATTTATTGATTTGCAATGAAGATTTTTTTTTTTCCCCCGGGGAGGAAGTTTGTTCGCCCCCTAATTTTTTTTTTTGGGTAGGAGGCGTCTCCATGCCACCTTTGACCCACCTTTCACATGGGTTCAGGAAAGGGTTTATGTTACCCATAATCCTCGACGGCGGCAATATTTCAATCAAGAGGCCACCGACGAAGTTGACGCATTCTACGTCAAGACGCTTGAGAGCTGCGCGCTTGGAGACTTTGACGTCATCAATGCCTGCGTCACGCGGTGACGTCGCTAGGAAAAGCGCAGTCGAATGATAGGAAAACGATGTTGCCTTTTCCTACTCAAAAGAAGCCACTTTTCATCACGCCTTGACCTGGTGACGTTTTCTACAAAGTTTAAGGAAAAGTTTTACAAAGGTTTGGAGATGAGACCCCCTGATGTCCACAAATGAGTCAGAACGCATGTCCCGATTGCATACCACAGTAATTTAGGCCAATTTGAAACTGCAATATTATCATGAGCAAAATGCAAGACTTGTTTGCAATTTGTACATATGTGAATTACACCCACATTGAGCTCACTTTTTCTTCTTCAAGGCACGAATTTTAAGTGTTCAACATTTCTTGACATTCTTAGTGTGTGTTCACATCTGCCTATGCTTATATGTTTTCCTGAACCAGCATTTACATCTGGCAAGATGTTTTCCCGCTTGAAATAGTCAATCAAAATGCTTTATATATCAGAAATTTTAACCCCAGGTGTTTGTTGTTTCATATTCCAATTGTCTCAAATGTTTTCAACGCTACAAAAGGGTTAAAGTACACATTCATCTTATTTTCTTATGAGGATCATACTTGATTCTTATTCATCGTATTGCCAATAATAAAATAATAATCTAATAAAAATCCAAACATGAATTCACACGCGCCATATTAAAACACCATTTACTGCTTCTTTGCATCATGTTAATCAGCATTTCACTGCAATGCCAATCGAGATGTATCTAATCAAATATGCATATGAGAGAAAATGCATTGATACACGCATGGCAGACAACATGCATTACACTATTTTTTTTCACTGTAAAATTATAATGATAGACAATGTTAAAATCAATTCCTGTATTTTAAAGCCTCTGTAAATCGGAAGGGTGTGCCATAAAATGGTAGACACATACAGGTATGTATTAGACGAACAGTTTTCTTGATTTTTCTACGTAGTACTGTATTTTTCCCCCCGACGCAGATTATAGCTGGAGAGGAATAAACTGTTTATTTCAGATGGCAAAGTTAGCGTGATGATCCGTGGCAATCACCGCTTTTGGTGTCCACTTGTGAACTATAATGTAGGTCACATGAGGACCGATTCATTCAACCCGGGGATGTCGACTCGCTTATTCATGTGCGTATTCATTCATATCTGAATGAATTCGCAAATGCACGTGTGGCGCACGTCATACAGATGCCAGACAAGTCCGACGTAAAATGCTTAAGACCGCATGTTTGATCTTGTAGTCCGCCAATAGCGCCCTTTGTTCGGACTTTGTCGCAAACAAATGACAGAGCAGGATCACATTCAAACACGCAAATGGTTTCATCTTGATTTTTTTTTAAAACCAATTTCGCGGAAAGTCGAGTTGACGCATGAATTACGTGACGTCTAACAAAGTATCCCTATGGCACATTTTAAGTGTAATAAGAATATTTGCATTCAGAGCTTTGGTGACATAAGGTTCGACGCAATAAACAACCCGGGTTGAAAGGAAGACCGGTTGGCCTTGCGATATTTTTCCGCCAGATTTGTTGTCCTTTTGAAGATCATGTAAAGTTTTACGTACAAAGGAGGCGCAAAAGACATGTGATACATGAGTTTTGGCACCGTCGAGTTTCAGCAATGGATGTGAGTATCACAATTACACGTTCTAGTGTCGGGCGAGAATACGACAAATGATCATTTCTATCAATGTGGTTGTCCATGTATTTTATTTACTCGTCTCTGTAGTTAATTAAATCGAAGTGTGAGGTACTTGTCCATTTTGTTGATTTTTTCAGATTCTATTTAGACAATGGAACGCTTACAATCCACCCATTTTTTTTTTTTTTGTACATTATATGAACTCAGATTGTACGATGCACACAATAGATTTGTACTGCAAGACGAATGTTTTTTTTTTTTTTTATGTCATCAGGAAAAAAAGGAATTGTTCATTTCTGGTGACAAGAAACGAACGAACACCTACATGTTATTTATTTTATTTTTTTAAATACCAACCTACATTATCCATCGTGCTGCACTAACGATACTACTACTATTACTACTCCTACTACTACTACTACTTTTAATAATATTTTTACAATACAATACAATACAATATTTTTATTATTAACTGCTTTTGCCTTTTGGCTTGCTTTCTCCAAAAGTTTCTGTGCACGGCATTCTGAATCTTTCACCTTCTGTTATTGGGCTCAAGTAAGTTTTGGCATGTTTTACTAATTCATGCCCTTCTTGACCCTACAAAGGTCACTTGCAATGCGTGCCCACTTTGGAATAAAGCCTACCGCAATCACCTGCAAAGTGTGTATTAGTTTATTGATTTATTTGGAAGTTTAAATCGAATAGTAGATGAAATTATGAAAACGGACAAGTTAACGAACGAAATAAAATGCATCAATTGGCACAATTTCTATTTCCAAAAGAAGCAAAGGGGGCATATCTACCTCTTAGGCACTTAAGTTAATATGATGTATATATATATATATATATATATAGAATCAGCAATCTCAATGAAATATATCATATACCAGACAAACACAGTGATATTTGGGAAGTGAAATGCAGTTTATAGGATTTACAGAAAGTGCAATTGTTTCTTAAACAAAAGTAGGCAGATGCATGAATTTGGGCACCCCAACAGAAAAATGACATCGATATTTAGTAGATCCTCCTTTTGCAGAAATAACAGCCTCTCCACGCTTCTGAACTTCCAATGAGCGTCTGGATTCTGGTTGAAGGTGTTTTTGCCCATTCTTCTTGACAAAACATCTCCAGTTCCGTCAGGTTTGATGGTTTCCGAGCATGGACGGCCCACTTGAATTCACACCACAGGTTTTCAAAAATATTCGCAACTGGGGAGTGAGATGGTCATTCCAGAACGGAACGTTGTACTTGTTCCTCTGCATTCATGCCTCGGAAGAATTTGAGCAGTGTTGAGAGTTGTTGTCTTGATGAAGTATTCAGCCCCGGCGCAACTTCCAACGTTGTCACTGATTCTTGAACACTGTTGGCAAGAATCTACTGACTGGAAGCCATGCGAACTTGAACAAAATTGCCAGTACCTGCACTGGCCCCACAGCATGATGGAACAATCACCACCAAATTTTACTGTGTGTAGCAAGTGTTTGTCTTCGGATTCCGTGTTCCTCTTCCGCCGTGCATAGCACCCCCTTTTAGGTCCAAATGATTCCCCATTTTAGTTTCACGAGTCCACAGCGCCTCATGACAAATTGAATCCGGCTTGTCCAAATGTGCTTTAACGTATCTCAAGTGACTCTTTTTGTTACACATGCGCAGGAAAGGCTTCTGCCGCATGACTCTACCATACAGCATCTCCTTTGTGCAAAGTGCACTGAATAGTTGAGCGATGCGCAGTGTCACCATCTGCAGCAAGATCGTGTTGTGGAGGTCGTTGGGGCTGGTCTGTGGGTTGAGTTTTAACTATTCTAACTGTCCCGCCACTCCGCTTGCACTAGAACTGTGCCTGTGGTTTTCTATTTCCTCACACTGTTCCTTACGGTTGTGATGGGACCAACGGCACTGGTGCATCAGCGCTGCACCAAGTGCGTGTGAAACTCCGCGTTGGTGCGTGCATGACTTTAACCCCCTCAAAAAAATAAATCATGTGACCAATATAGGTAGTGTGTCGTTCTGATGTGACGCGCCAAATTGTGTTTAGAAGGAAACAAAACTATATCGATATGGTGTCGGTTCGTTGGATGGAGATGACACCTGTACCTGTGCCATCGCCCGTATCTGTGTTGGAGTTTTGCTTTGTTTCTGCATGGATCGTTCCAGCAAATGTTCACAAGTCTGGAAATATTTTGATCTTCTGATGCCAAATAAGGTAAATCTCTTGCTCCTTTGGGCGTGGTTTTCAGATATTTTTTATTTTTTTATTGTAGGTGAAGTTTCGGCTCTGCAGAACTGTTTTACTTAATGCTGAGGCATTATAGAGCTTTATTATCTGGGACTTAAATATTTCTGCACACCACCTTCGTGTGTTCCCTGTGAACAAATGTTTTTTAAGACAGGGGAACCGGTCTCCAAGAGGAGAAATCGCCTTGGAACAAAGACACTTAAAAAAACATTTTTTTCCTCAATAAAAATGTATGAATGAATCCCATTTTTTTGGTGTGTTTTTCATATGATTGAACACTTTGGCACCCCAAATCTCATACATAAGGTAAATGTTTGAACTAGCAATTGAATCAAGTTTAAATATTATTTCACAGGCTAATTTTTGGGTTCACAGCATGCAAGTTTTTCCTTTTTTTACATTTTGTTTACGGCATGATTTCAGATGTACAGCAGAGGTCACTATTGACTGACCAACACTATCAATACAAAGTCAACACAGTTTTTGTAATACACTCTTTGAAGTATCGTCTACCCATCACTACCTAGCAGCGGAAACTGACAGCTGAAAACTCTGAGCTGTCTTTTTGTATCCTTTCTTCCGCCCATCGATCCATTTTCTAATCCGCTTCTCCTCACGAGGGTCGTGGGACTGCTGGAGCCTATCCCAGCTGCCTTCGGGCAGTAGGCGGAGAACACCCTGAACCGGTTGCCAGCCAATCGCAGGGCACACAGAGACCAAACACCATTCGCGCTCAACACTCATACCTAGGGACAATTTAAAGTGTTCATTAACCTGCCAGGCATGTTTTTGGAATGTGGGAGGAAACCGGAGTACCCGGAGAAAAACCCACGCAGGCTCGGGGAGAACATGCAAACTCCTCACAGTCGTAATCGAACCCTGCAACTCTGCACTTGTTTTTAGCTGTTTTTATTGTACCCTATTGGAAGACCCTTGACATGCAAGTGTGGCGAGCTTCCTAATTGAGCAGCAAATTTCACTCTAGAATGCTTTGAGAGGGTTGATTTTATTTTTTGCACCCAACAAACTTTTATCAAAGCTGCGAGATTTATCAAAGCTGTTTCAGGACATGACTGAGCCTGCTATTTGTTTCACAGTATTGGGTGCCAGTTTCTTTGTACACCAGGCACAGGAAAAACTATTGGAACTGCTTTTGTCATAAATTGTCCAGAAGCAGGGACGGCATCAGGATTTCTATATCCCTGGCTAAAGGAGAGGCGTAGACTGATAAATCGGGGGGGATGATAATATCAAGAAATATATTTTACAATATCAAGCCAAATGCAGGAGCATCTTAACTGGGGCTGCACAGATTTGTGATGGGGCTATCGCACCCCCTGACCTCGGTGGAGTGGCACCCCTGCCCAGGAGTATTGGGGCTTTTCAGTATGCCTTTCAGCACATTCAGCAATTTTTTTCAGTGATTTTGTGCCCCCCCCCCCATTACTTAACAAAAGTGTTGCATTGTTTTCATCCTGTGCCATGTGTACGAGCAAAAGAACATTGTATCGACTTGAAACAGCCAGCAGGGTCAGTTATGTTCTGGGGCTGCTTTGCTATATCCGGCACAGGGTGTCTTGAACCTGTTCCGGCTGGAAGTAATCACAAGACTATCAAGGCATTCTGAAGTAAAATTAGCTCCAGACAGGTTTGTGGAAAGGCAGCGGTGACTTGGCCTTTTCTCTGGTCATTGCTTTGCTAAGGACCTTCCTTTTTCTTACCTTTTTCAGCCTCCTCAATCTCACACACTAAACACCGAGGGGGCACAGACGCTGACAGCGATGACGACAATCAACCCGCAGACGCTCGCTCCTGAATCCAATGCTTTTGGCTACTATCAAAACATGTGGAATCACCCGAATAACTATTTCCCTTCAATACAAGGTAAATTCCTCTTATCAATTGTCAATGATGGTTGTTATCTATAAAATCCAGGTATACGCATAACAATCCGGAATATCGTTACCAAAGTTTTAAAAGTGAGACGAAAAACAAGCTTGTGCGTTCTCACTTACTCTTTTTGTGTGTGGTGTACTTGAGATTACCGCCACAGGACATCCACCGCACACGTTACGATATCACCACCGACAATCGAGACTTTCTTCCTACAAACTAAATTTCTGTCGGTAGAATTAAGACTGACTTGTGTAAGATGCAGCAGGGCACCCAAACTGCCAGAAAATACAAAGACGCCACAGCGGTCGTAAAAATAAATATATAAAATAAATATAAGAAGTGAGGCTGACTGTTAGCTTATCTGGTAATTGCGTCACAGATACAAACGCTTGTCATTGAATGAATGACTTGGGAGACTTCATTTATTGTCTGGCAAAAGCAAGAGTGACTGATTAGCTTCCTAATTGGTGATCATTCGGGTTCATCATTCGTCCCCATCCCACACCGCAGGGCAGTTGGTTGGGATCATGTATTTTTTTCGGAACATCCAATAATAGGACCATTGCTGACTTTTAGCCCGTGACTGTGACATCCAAACGACATCACATCGATTGTAACTACCACAGTAAAGCTGTTACACCAACAAGCTAACTCTTAATTTTCTGTGTCCAGCAACATCTGGGGTGCATTTGTCAAAATGTAAGACCAGGCAAAATGTAAACTAAAATCTTATGCTTCTAAATGACAGACTTTTCTTTCATTTTAAAGGAGGTCCTTTCTGTTATCAGAATGAGGGAGCACAGACGGTGGCAACAATGGCTATGCCAAGTACACAACCAACACAATCTCTACCCATTCCATACTGCACAGAGCGGCAGGATAACCTGCAGATGCAATTTGCTCAACCGCTTGCAGGTACAAATACTGAATTGCTTTAACGGCATACAAACAGGAGGTATTAAGTATTGGAGGAGTCATAAAAGTTGGAACAGTTACGAAAACCAATAGAAAAGTGGCAGCTTTCTCATGGTTGTGGTGTGAAGGCTGAGGTGTGTGGATTTAAATGCAAGGAGGCAGTGTTGAAAACGCTTCACAAGTTGACTGCGATGGACTTCAGTTCATCGCGATCCAATTGAGAGGACAAGCTGTTCGGAAAACGTGCTTTGAGAATGAAAATATAATAGTAATAAATAGAACTGTGCTTTGAAATGCTCAGTGACGGTTTTAAATTGGGGTAGCTTTGAGTTAAAAATAGTACAGAATGATTAGGTACAGCTAAAAAAAAAAAAGACTAGCTTTTAAAATGAAGTAACTGTAATTGTAATTAGAACCTGGTAAAAATATTGTTGAATTAAATTCAATCTATGTTTCAAAACTCACTCCAAAAACCAAATGCAATGACTTCTAAACAATGCTTGATGGGTACTCAAAAAATTAAAACGACGTTAAATTACCGTTGAACTGGAGTACATTATCTTGAGAGGTGTTTTACATGCACGCGGGTTCCAAAGGAAAAAAAAAATTGCCACCAATGTCATGATTTGACCATTTACAAAGACCAGTCAGTCCTACTACGCGGCGTGAATAAGATGACAACTTTGGGACTCGAACGGACTGGCGATAGGATAAGCTGCGATTCGCCCTGCCCAAGACAAAATGACTTGACTTGCTTTGAGACTTGAAGGCTACGACTTGAGACTAACTTGAGACTTGCACGTTTTGACTCGATCCCATCTCTGCTAATAATGTACTCCTTTGGATAAAAACAGCAATACTTTTTTAAGAAATAAGCATTAAGTTTGATATCTTGGGAAAAAAAAATGTTGGGGTGCAAGTTCTGAATGTTATCTCTGCCGGTTTGGCAGGTGACATGACCGCCACGCAGCTGCAATACGCCAACTCCATCCTCCCACAGGGCGTGGCACAAGGAAGCGGTCCTCGGAACCAGTCGGAACGTAGCTTGATGAAAAACAGGTAGATGGGAATTTATGTTATTATGAAAGTGATTATTTTTTACAGACATTTCCAAAGCTTGAGTCAAATGGCAACGTTGGGTCCAGAGCTGTTTCGCGTTTGGGATCAAGGTGGAACACTTTGGCCAGCTCCAAATCAGAATTCGATGGCGCTCGGCCCACAATCGAAATGTCAGTCGACAATAGAAGGGCACAAAGGGTTAAACGAGAATTATGTTATGAAATCCATACCAAATGTCATTCGGTTGGCCTAAACATTTGCTATTCTTGCAGGGAAGCCGCCCGGGAGTATCGGAGGAGGAGAAAGGCATACGTGCAAGGCTTGGAGGAACGTGTGGCGAAGCTTGAAAATCAGAATAAGGCTCTGAAGGAAGAGTTAAAAACCTGGAAAGAAATGTGTCATCATAACGGCCCTTGATAAGGCTGTTAAAATGGCTGCATGGACTGTAAATATCATTTAATTCATTTACTTAAAAAAAAAAATGCTGCTATCGGACGATGCCAAGGAAGGAAGTCGACCGTCTTCTTGACACATTGTGGAGCACTAAGGGCTTTATACCTTGCCGAAGAATAATCGGAACAGGTCAGATGAGGAAGCTGGGTTGAAAAAAAAAACATCTTTCAATATACTTGACCTGCTCTGCTGTCACAAACTCGCATATTGTACCAGAATACAAACTTGGAAGCGCATATTGCACTGTGCTGGCCCACATTTGCACTAACTGCTGTGTATAATTGTTAGAATTGTATTTTAGAATTTTAGAATTTACAGAGATTTATCAAATACCAGTAGCGGATGCTGGTCTGTCAAGGAGGGGAAGCTCAATTTCGGGCTACATCATAAAACGTGTCCCGTTTATTGATACGTGAATTCTACTCTCCGTTCCTTTTCAAGAGAATGATCTGTGACCCTGTCATACCAACAAGGCGTCTTTTCCAGGGTCTTAACTGGGGTGATATAAGTCAGTCTGCGAACACAAGCAACTACAATAAAACACACCAGAAATAAAAGATGAATCTGTCGCTAGTCGTTTTTAACAAAGAGAGTGTCGCTGAGATGATTAGAAGTCTCCAGTTCAACTCAGAACAGAATTGAGAATTGAAAAATGCTCCCACGGATGCCGACACCAAAAGATCGGTGATTGGCTCATTTAGCTGTCAATCAAAAAGAGATTCAGCCTCAGACAGATCATCCAATCATCATATATATATATATATCTATAGATATAGATATATAGAGAGAGAGAGAGAGAGAGAGAGAGAGAGAGAATGTCAAACTTGATAGATAGATAGATAGATAGATATAATGTGTGTGTGTGTGTTAGATTTATATTAGATGTATTTAGAATGCTTTGCAGTACTGGTTGATAAATCACCATAACGCTCTCAGTCCATCGACAACGTATGATGACCTCATGGCCTATTCCGACAATATATATTTTTTTTTTACTGAGGCAAAACCAGTCCCCTTCAGTCACTTAGCGTAATACTCTTCGAAGACGTCGTCGTGACGGATGCATATGTAGCCCTGGTACACATAAAGATAATTGCTGTTGGTGTCCTGATTTTTTTTTTTCCCCCTCCCGGCCAAGAACGACAAAGGCCAGATTTAGCTTTTATAAAATTGTCCTGTAGTCTAAGGTCCATTAAGACTTAAGATGTCCCAAATTACTGGGTTGGAAACAAGCCGTGGCTGCCAAACTTTAAATATTAAATGAGTTCAATATTTCCCACTGAAAATGTGAGGAGAGACTACTCACCTCCAAGTCACGACCAACTGACATGAAACGGAATGTAGCAAATGAGGTTAACAGGTGACCAATCGGAGGAATTGCGTCTTGGTTCTTGGTTGTCGCAGTTGTGTTTCTTCATCTCGGTTATTGCAGGATTACGTTTGATCATGTTCGAACTGAATTTTTATGCGTGCACCGTGCTGCGTTGAGATGATCGGAGAACACAACACACAGTACGATCAAACCTGAAGCTTAAAAAATGTCTGAAGATTAAAAAAAAAGTTGTGTGTAAGCCTTTGGCATTTTCTGTCCTATTGTTTTTTTTCTGATTTCGATTTTAACTTGGTCCTCTAACTTGTCAAACTGTATATATCCCATCTGAGCTCATTGATTTTTGCCTGTTTTATTTTCACTTGGGTGTCTGTAAATTTGAAAATGTGTGTCTACCGGCCCTGCGTCAACGATCCCAACTCCAGGTGTCTCAAAAAGCACCGCAGACAACATCAGTGGCCATCTTGGCAGATGATACCCTGACCAAGTTAACTGCTTTTTCCAGAGCCTATTTTAGACCTCAAAGTGCACCTGTATTGTCTTCAAGAAACATGACTACCAAATTTGAAACTGGATTATCATGTTCCCTGGACTTCCCGATTCAGCAAAATCAAGAAACTGGCCTCGTCTCGACACAGATGAACACAGGACTTCATAATTGCAACTGTCACTTGGTGGTTTGCGTCATGGACCTACTCTGCGACCGTTGAATGGTGGGACACTTCCCAGCAAGACCGGAAAACCAAGCGCGAGGTCGTGATCCATGGGTCACGATTGCGACTAGATCCTACTGACATTCTTTTACACCGTCATCAAGCAGGGCAGGGCATTCATGATGGTCGGCCCGATCATTTCATTCATTAAGAACGTCTTTGGAACAGGTACACTGGAATGGCAGGTCATTCATGATGGTCGGCCCGATAATTTCATTAAGAACGTCTTTGGAACAGGTACACTGGAATCGAAGATGCTAATACAATTTGTGCTGATCACTGTGCCACTCAAGACATCAAGAATCCATTGTCGGCATGGCCCACTGTGCAGCTTTGAGGAATCTACGCAAGAATGTACACAAGGTTTTGATTTTCCTAAGTGGCAATTCTGTCAGGTGACCTAACCAGAGAACATGTTTCCAAGTTTTCCGATAACAGGGTTATTCTCGTAATGCAAGAGTGAAAACAAGTTACCACTCCCACGAGTCACACCATAATATTGTTTGCAGCCTTTGAACCCTGAAGTCTTGTCGATAATTTCATCCTGAGAAGTTCTGTCGGCGCCGAGTCCCAGTGAGGATGTTAAAAGTTCAGTTCCAGTTTAAGACCTTGAGTTTTCTGAAACCGTCACCAACTGGCAAGGACGCAGATGAAGTCCACAGGAGTCCCGTTACAGCTCGAAGTACGACATCGACCCGCCGAGTCCGTCATTGTGCCTTTGAGTATATTTTGTTAGCGTCAAGATGTGAATGACACAAAACCCCTGGAAAGTCTCAAAGAAATGTCTTCGTCTGGGTCGGCCCCTCAAGTACATTTCAGACACAGCGATGCTTTCGACTTTTATGAGAAAGTTTTTGGTCATGTCCTTTTCTTTAGAAGCACGGCTCACAAAGTGCACAAAGGTTCGTGCAGGCATCGCAAGATAAATTTGGTCGGAAGGACGAGCCGGCAAGGCGTTCACGTTCACCGCAAAATTCTTCTACATGGGCTAAAATCCTGCCACACACTCAAACACAGAAGGTGAGTCCAAATAATCTGTTACTGCGACAAAAGGCCAAATGCATATCCTCCATTTTTCAGTTCTTGTCTGTGCAATGGCCGTTGTTTTGATCCCTTTGTCCATGAACTCAAATGATTACAAGTGTTTCGCTGGAGCAAGGTCATTTGCCATCAGCTTTCATCCACGTATACTGACTCAGCGTCCCTTAACACCCTTTGAATGTCCAGTAGTGTTACCTAGGTTGATAGATAGATATAATGTGTGTGTGTGTGTTAGATTTATATTAGATGTATTTAGAATGCTTTGCAGTACTGGTTGATAAATCACCATAACGCTCTCAGTCCATCGACAACGTATGATGACCTCATGGCCTATTCCGACAATATATATTTTTTTTTTACTGAGGCAAAACCAGTCCCCTTCAGTCACTTAGCGTAATACTCTTCGAAGACGTCGTCGTGACGGATGCATATGTAGCCCTGGTACACATAAAGATAATTGCTGTTGGTGTCCTGATTTTTTTTTTTCCCCCTCCCGGCCAAGAACGACAAAGGCCAGATTTAGCTTTTATAAAATTGTCCTGTAGTCTAAGGTCCATTAAGACTTAAGATGTCCCAAATTACTGGGTTGGAAACAAGCCGTGGCTGCCAAACTTTAAATATTAAATGAGTTCAATATTTCCCACTGAAAATGTGAGGAGAGACTACTCACCTCCAAGTCACGACCAACTGACATGAAACGGAATGTAGCAAATGAGGTTAACAGGTGACCAATCGGAGGAATTGCGTCTTGGTTCTTGGTTGTCGCAGTTGTGTTTCTTCATCTCGGTTATTGCAGGATTACGTTTGATCATGTTCGAACTGAATTTTTATGCGTGCACCGTGCTGCGTTGAGATGATCGGAGAACACAACACACAGTACGATCAAACCTGAAGCTTAAAAAATGTCTGAAGATTAAAAAAAAAGTTGTGTGTAAGCCTTTGGCATTTTCTGTCCTATTGTTTTTTTTCTGATTTCGATTTTAACTTGGTCCTCTAACTTGTCAAACTGTATATATCCCATCTGAGCTCATTGATTTTTGCCTGTTTTATTTTCACTTGGGTGTCTGTAAATTTGAAAATGTGTGTCTACCGGCCCTGCGTCAACGATCCCAACTCCAGGTGTCTCAAAAAGCACGGCAGACAACATCAGTGGCCATCTTGGCAGATGATACCCTGACCAAGTTAACTGCTTTTTCCAGAGCCTATTTTAGACCTCAAAGTGCACCTGTATTGTCTTCAAGAAACATGACTACCAAATTTGAAACTGGATTATCATGTTCCCTGGACTTCCCGATTCAGCAAAATCAAGAAACTGGCCTCGTCTCGACACAGATGAACACAGGACTTCATAATTGCAACTGTCACTTGGTGGTTTGCGTCATGGACCTACTCTGCGACCGTTGAATGGTGGGACACTTCCCAGCAAGACCGGAAAACCAAGCGCGAGGTCGTGATCCATGGGTCATGATTGCGACTAGATCCTACTGACATTCTTTTACACCGTCATCAAGCAGGGCAGGGCATTCATGATGGTCGGCCCGATCATTTCATTCATTAAGAACGTCTTTGGAACAGGTACACTGGAATCGAAGATGCTAATACAATTTGTGCTGATCACTGTGCCACTCAAGACATCAAGAATCCATTGTCGGCATGGCCCACTGTGCAGCTTTGAGGAATCTACGCAAGAATGTACACAAGGTTTTGATTTTCCTAAGTGGCAATTCTGTCAGGTGACCTAACCAGAGAACATGTTTCCAAGTTTTCCGATAACAGGGTTATTCTCGTAATGCAAGAGTGAAAACAAGTTACCACTCCCACGAGTCACACCATAATATTGTTTGCAGCCTTTGAACCCTGAAGTCTTGTCGATAATTTCATCCTGAGAAGTTCTGTCGGCGCCGAGTCCCAGTGAGGATGTTAAAAGTTCAGTTCCAGTTTAAGACCTTGAGTTTTCTGAAACCGTCACCAACTGGCAAGGACGCAGATGAAGTCCACAGGAGTCCCGTTACAGCTCGAAGTACGACATCGACCCGCCGAGTCCGTCATTGTGCCTTTGAGTATATTTTGTTAGCGTCAAGATGTGAATGACACAAAACCCCTGGAAAGTCTCAAAGAAATGTCTTCGTCTGGGTCGGCCCCTCAAGTACATTTCAGACACAGCGATGCTTTCGACTTTTATGAGAAAGTTTTTGGTCATGTCCTTTTCTTTAGAAGCACGGCTCACAAAGTGCACAAAGGTTCGTGCAGGCATCGCAAGATAAATTTGGTCGGAAGGACGAGCCGGCAAGGCGTTCACGTTCACCGCAAAATTCTTCTACATGGGCTAAAATCCTGCCACACACTCAAACACAGAAGGTGAGTCCAAATAATCCGTTACTGCGACAAAAGGCCAAATGCATATCCTCCATTTTTCAGTTCTTGTCTGTGCAATGGCCGTTGTTTTGATCCCTTTGTCCATGAACTCAAATGATTACAAGTGTTTCGCTGGAGCAAGGTCATTTCCCATCAGCTTTCATCCACGTATACTGACTCAGCGTCCCTTAACACCCTTTGAATGTCCAGTAGTGTTACCTAGGTTGAAAAAAAAGACATTTTCATTTGAAGCCATACAACTATCTTCAGAAATTTTGCGGATCTCACTGTGATGGAGGGATGAACATATTGCAACATGAAGTGAGAACGTTACCTGTGGAATTGGATACTTGGTGGGGTACGGCGCCGTCTCTCTCCCAGAATCAGACAGAGTCCCACATTTTGCATCGCCGTTGACCCAAAGGCCTTCGTAAATGAGACCTTTGTCAGCGTAGTAGAACTTTCCATGACCGTTTTTCTTGCCGCCCTTCCAGCATCCTTCATACCAGTTCCCGTTAGGGCTTCGACGGAGTTCAAAAGTTAGACCTTTCAAGTCATTTGGCCGCAATGAATTAAAAAGCTTACCAAATTGAATAACGCCTGTTCCGTCTTCCTTATCCCAAAGCCACTCGCCCTCGTAGAGATCCCCACACTTATAGGTGAGTCTCCCCCAGCCGCTGCGATTGTCCTCGCTCCACTCGCCCTCATACGTCGCGTGCACATCAAAGAAGGAACCGTGGCCCTGAAGAGGTGAGAGGTCAAAGCTAATTCACACTTCTGTGGACTCGGAAATTTTCTTCGACACATCCTCTCTGGCTTGTTTTGCCCTCAGTGGGTCAATTGACTTTTTCAGCAGTCAATCTCAACAAATTGCAAAATGTCATCCGGTGAGATCCGGAATGTGCCGTGTCAGTCGGTGCGACGCCGTTGAGAGAAATACCTACGTGTTTCATGCCATTTTTCCACTCTCCACAGTACTGCGTTATGTACTTCTTGGTGTCCGGTCGGAGTACACTGAAGATGCCGTAGCCGTCGTGTTTCCCAAATTTCCACTCGCCATTGTAAATCGCACCGGATGACTTCCACTCTTGGGTGCCCCAACCTTTAATGATCACCGGATGACGCTATGTAATGCAGCTAACATTTGCCACGGAATTTGGAGACCAAACAATTTGAACTTACCGTGTTTCTTATTGTCCAGCCACTCCCCAGTGTAGTTATCGCCATTGACAGAAAATACCGTTCCGCGAAGCCCGGATTTCTTTGCTCTGTTATCCAAGACTGTGGAGCGGGGCAGGTTGAGTCGAGCTTTTTTAAGGAACGGCATCCCCTGGGGTCACCTGGTGGTGACATTTTGGTCAAGATGAGTTGCTGCAGTCACAGATTTGCTGAATTCATTCACAGTCGTTGCAAATATGAATGCAAGGTTGATTCGCTTTACAGACATTCACGAACAAAATAACTAACCTTCAATAATTAATCAATCAGTCCCCTGCGTCCTAAAATAACGTCCCGTGCTTAAATACAACATCCTACTTTTGCAGCTCTTATCATCAATCACTTTCTAGTATGTAGCAGTGATATCAAGACAATGCAGAGTTTTCTGACTGCATCATGATAAAGACAACGCTAAATTATAACACAAGGCTTGTTTTGCCCTCAGTGGGTCAGTTGGCTTTTTGAGCAGTCAATCTCAACAAATTGCAAAATGTCATCCGGTGAGATCCGGAATGTGCCGTGTCAGTCGGTGCGACGCCGTTGAGAGAAATACCTACGTGTTTCATGCCATTTTTCCACTCTCCACAGTACTGCGTTATGTACTTCTTGGTGTCCGGTCGGAGTACACTGAAGATGCCGTAGCCGTCGTGTTTCCCAAATTTCCACTCGCCATTGTAAATCGCACCGGATGACTTCCACTCTTGGGTGCCCCAACCTTTAATGATCACCGGATGACGCTATGTAATGCAGCTAACATTTGCCACGGAATTTGGAGACCAAACAATTTGAACTTACCGTGTTTCTTATTGTCCAGCCACTCCCCAGTGTAGTTATCGCCATTGACAGAAAATACCGTTCCGCGAAGCCCGGATTTCTTTGCTCTGTTATCCAAGACTGTGGAGCGGGGCAGGTTGAGTCGAGCTTTTTTAAGGAACGGCATCCCCTGGGGTCACCTGGTGGTGATATTTTGGTAAAGATGAGTTGCTGCAGTCACAGATTTGCTGAATTCATTCACAGTCGTTGCAAATATGAATGCAAGGTTGATTCGCTTTACAGACATTCACGAACAAAATAACTAACCTTCAATAATTAATCAATCAGTCCCCTGCGTCCTAAAATAACGTCCCGTGCTTAAATACAACATCCTACTTTTGCAGCTCTTATCATCAATCACTTTCTAGTATGTAGCAGTGATATCAAGACAATGCAGAGTTTTCTGACTGCATCATGATAAAGACAACGCTAAATTATAACACAAGGCTTCATACAGTAATATTCCCAAAATATCATTAATAGTGGCAGGTAATTTTGCACAGGAATTTGGATCGTTATTGATCACAATCCCAACCGTCCATCAAATCTGTCATGAATGGGCATGTGTACATGTGTGTGTGTGTAGCTAGATTGTGTCTACCCTGTCATTTAACTTCATACCTGAGGTGAATGAATTTAGCAACAAGCGACAAGGGCTTGACATCTGCAAGATGGCGCTAACGAACTTCATTCAAAGGTTGGTGGTTTCAGGGCACTGCGGGAAATGCACATCACATGAATTAGTTCGGATTGCGGCATCTGAGCTTTTGGGCTTGGATATAAAATGGACAAACATAATCACCTGTCAAAACATATCGAGATGCCTGAATGGCGTGGAAAGATGTTTGGTGTATTTGGGAACACACATTTTAATCAGGTCGCGAAGGTATTCCTAATACGAAACGTAGCAAGCATGGTGACGGTAGGATTGTACAACGTGAAGCGATGACATAACAAAGGCCTCGAAGTCTGTGATGGTAAATGATGTAAGGGTGTGACAAAGACGATGACAACATTCAGAGCCTTCGAGAAAGGTATAGAGTCCCAGGTGTTCATGGCCATTGGTTGCTGTGCTTTTACTCACTCATAACTACGATTAGTCATTTCGAAGCGGGCAGGCACAGTCAAGAAGTCCGTGGTTCCAAACTTGGTTCAGGCTCTTCTGTGTGGAGTTTGCAGATTGGCCCGTTGCCTGTGTGTGTGGGTTTTTTTTTCCCTCCAGGTACTCCTGCATCCTTTCAAAGTCCCAAAACATGCGTGCAAGTTTAATTGAAGACTAAGCTGATCACGCTGCAGTCATTATTCTATAGATACAAAAAACAGAATTAGTCTATCAGCCCTTCAAAAAAATAAACCTGACTAGGGACTTCACTTCACCAGTGTCTCATTCAATGGCTCCATCGGAATGAATAACCTCCACCTTGGCTAGAATTACAAAACACAGCCTATAATAAATAGCACCCAATCTCAAACTCCCCTCCATCACAGTTTCCACGGTCAGGGTCTTGCTATTCCACAGATTTTTAAGTTTTGTTTTTTTTCCTTTCGAGGGCAAGGGTGAAACCCTGAATTACCATTTTAATTCCACGGTGCACCACTAGATGGCGGCACACCAGTTTAACACTGTATATTTGACGAATGGAGAAGAACAAAAAAGATGGGGTGTATTGCAATATATTGCGGATTTCACTTATTGTGGGAGTGGCCTACAACGTATGACCCTAGATGCAAGGGGGGGGGGTAATTCGTGAATCATTAACAATATGTAACATGAATGAACAAAACAACCAATCGTAAGACTGTAAAAAAAAAAAAAGAAGGTGCCCGAGATCCTTGATTCCTGTCGGCCCGTGAAAAAAAAGTCATCTGGAAATGTAATGTCAACATATTTTATCTTCTCCTTGTAGTTCCTGTGCATGCCAAAAAGGTCCCACGCATGTATTCGAACTTCTATCATCTTGACCCTGGACTTGCGGTGTGCAACCCAAGAGGCCGAGGCTCCTTTATCGTCCTCACAAGCGGTTTGTTGCCAACGTTGGAGCCATTCACAACCCCTTGCTACCAGGGGAGGATTAACTGGCCCTCTGTTTCAACGCTCAGTTTGGTCTCCGTGCACCCTCGAGTCATCTCCCCTCTCTCTCTGGGCTCCGCGTGGGTTACTCCAGTATCCCTGGCGCCTGATGTGGGGATCGGTCCCTCACGATTTAGGGATGCGCTCGCCTGCTGCACTCTGGGACTGGTGCCGAGTGCCAGCTCAGGGTGGCGTGTGTGGGGTCTCCCCAGCGGTCTAGGTTTTGGGCAAGCCATGGCTGCTCCCTCCCTTTGCGGTCAACTTGCTGGACTGGACTGGCCTGCAACAAGGGGCACTAACTAACCAGACTCAACAGAAAAAAAAGTGTATTAAACAGAAAGCACAAAGTCTCAACCAGTAAAAAGGATACCTGGACACGAGAAGCGTTTTAATCACATTTTCATTTATTGTTTAATTGTCACGTCACTAATTAACAGGTAGTCACAATAAACACTTTTTTTCCAAACCAGAAAAAAAAGAAAAGAAAAAAAATAAGCGACACAAGAACGAGGTTCTGTCAATGACATGAAGTACGTCTACCGAACACATCCGATTGTTTTGTCAGCATGCTCTGCAGGTTTACGACAACTATTTAGGAGCATTAAGGTCTACACTTGTTTTGTCTGCTCGGAGTGCTACAAAGGGAGATGAAGCTCCACAGCGCTCGCGCTAGATGACGCAGCAGCCTTTGTTACAAAAGCCAAACCTACACAGCTGTCGTGAGTCTGTTTGAACCATGCGCTGATTTCAAATTGGAACCCTACACGGTCATCTGATATGTGATCCTCGACATGTTTTTGTGGTTTTTTTGTTTTGTATTGGCTGTGATGCCCATCCCGATTGTTAATACGCATAACCAGACCAGTCATGAGTAGGTTATGGTCATTTGCTTTTGTCTACATTTGTTTTGAGACTATTTTCAAACATGAGAGCAGACCAGCTGTGAGGCTGCAGGAACACAATGATAAATACAAAAAAAAAAAAAGAAAATCGTTCAATATGTCTGAGACATTCTTTCACTTCAAGGGCCCCTTTCAAATGAAAAAGGCGAACGTTTGAGAACAGTAATTTTCGCCGGATAATTTGTTCAATGCGACGATAAAGCATCCTTTCCGTTTCGAAACCAAGGTACGACTTGACCGCTTGAACCCGCTGTTTGTTGGTGTTGTCCGTTTCTTTTTGTTCTGAGAGCGCATCAGCAATAAAATACCTATGTACATCTGTGTGCAGTCTCATAGTAGCATGAAGCAAAATCAAAAACGTCCATCCAAATGAACGACACAAAAAGTGGGCTACAGGCAAGGAAGGCTAAAACATGGCCCAAAAATGTCAAAAAATAAATACGCCATAATGCTAAATTCTCACCAATTTTACTTGTTCAAATGGAACGTCAGGATGCGTGTCAATGTGTTGACTATGAATGAGAAATATCCGCATATCATCAAGAGCAGAACACGTTAAGTTGTTGGATCGTGTTTTTGGTAGACATAGCCCACTTTGATCATCGATTATATATCCAAGGATTACGGCGCAATGGTTGTGCTGAGCGTTAAAGCGAAAATTCCCTTTTAAATTCCAATGTCAAGTTTCTTGGGAAAAAAATGGATATATTTATTTTTGTCGAATAAGACGATTGTTGCACAATGCCACGGACTATGAACCATCAATTCCAAAGGATTCACTTTTTGCTTTTTCTTTGTTTTGTTTTTTTTGTGACGGCAAAGGGGAAAAAATGTGACAACCATAAATCGAAATGTCACCCATTCCCATTTGCAGCAAATAAGTCATGTTGGAGCACACGTTCGGTACTTACATTATTAACAGTGGTTAACGTCACTCGTATAACAATTGAGATCATTGCAATGAAATGCTAATGTATCAATAACAGGTAAAAACCTTCACTTATTAACTTCTGCGGAACAAACGTATTTTAAATCAGAGCAAATTCGAGTTGGATTGTGTTGGACCTCAACATGTGAACCGTTAAGGTGACAAAATGACACTGCCTCTTATTCCTGTAAATAAACCTGCCAGACACTCGGAGCTCGCTACCCATGTTTGACGGATGCATTTAAGAGCTTTTTCTGCCCCCCAAGCGGACCAAAAAAAAAAAAGATTAAATACATCAGATGACATGAATATTGTTCGAATGCTACGATTACAACTGCTCTAAGGACCTGTTCATTTGGAGGAGAGCAAAACCCGATAGCAAAACCGATAAACACAAACAATAACTGAATTAAGAGCTAATAAGTACGGCGCCACTTGTTTGAAATCTCCCAATTTGCCTGCGTAGGACAATGTAATCCTGGAGCTAAAAATGTAAAGCCAAAATGATCTGAAACGACTTCCTCTTCCTGTCACTCATTTTGCAAAAACAAAACAAATAAAACAAAACAAACAAAAAAAGTTTTGAAGTCGTAATGCATTTAAGTCCTGGATTCAAATGAAATCACGTGCCACCATTTCCTCCACATTCAGATTACTTCCCGGATTACTGCAGTTTTACAAGAATCATGAAAGGGGCACGCACTTCCACGGATGACTAAAAAACCCTCAAACTACCTAAAAAAAATACATCCAGAAACCACACACACATGCACGTCTTTCCATCGAACCACATTCCTTTGCTCACTTTCCTTTTGACGCCATCGACATTTCACCCACCTTCACTTTGTGCCTCGGGAAGCATTGTTACCCCTGCGCCCCATTCAGTCCCCATTACACTTGACTGTGTCCAAGTACGTTTTGCTCATCCACGTGTCATCGCGCCGGAAGCAACGGAGTTTTACGACAACTTTCCGTAATGTGGCCGAGCACACATTACACTGCCGTGCCACTGATGTTGGTGGGCAGGGCAGTGTAGTACGAAACACTACAGTGGAACGATGCAATTTTGCAATTCCATTTTTTTTAGCGCCATCTTGGCACAAACGAGACACTTTGAAGTGCGTTGAGGAGCTACAGTTAGACAAAACTGTTCCTTGGTCATCATCTTGTGGCATCTATTGGGATCTGGAGTTTAATCATTAAAAAAAACAAACAAACAAAAAAAAAAAAAACGCAATTTGAGCACGATGCAGACTGCAAAAAAAAAAAAATTTGAGTGCGCTCCCAGTGGGAAAAAAAAAGCTGTTCCAGGATCCTGTCAGACTAATGCTGCGTCTATATCAAGAAACTTAAAAAAAAACAAACAAATAAATAAATGTTAGAATTAAAAAGGTAAGAAGGAACCAATGCGATTAGAAAGGACTCCCATCCAAAACTACTTTTTAGGGTTGCCACTCAAAACACGATCACAAAGAGAGTTAGACAGTCTAAAATTGTTTTTGGTGTGTGTACGTCAGCCACTTTAGGTTTCTAAGCGAGAGTGAAGCGGTGAGGAAATGAACCGAGTATTGTTACACTTAAGCAGAGATATGACAGTGTCGGTTATTGAGGGAACGAGGTTATGTTTATGACGGGGGGGGGCTGACCGTCCCAGTTGGGAATTCATTCTTGGAGGCAAGGTGAAGCAAAGTCCAAGCAACCATCCAACAGATTTTTGGAGAGGAGGCGGAGGTGGGCAAGATCGCTTTTTAAGGGCTGCTGGTCTCCCCCTGAACCTCCCCCCATGGAGCAAGGAAGGGGCAGAGGGGAAGCTGACGCAGCAGAGGCCGCCTTGGACGCTGGATGGGTGTGGGTGGGAACCGCATGGGTGGGTGTGTGTGTGTGTGTGTGAAGGGGGCTGTAAAATTGCCTGCGACTTGATGTTGAATGAGTTCAAGCTCGACGGGAAAGAAAGGAGGCGATGAGATGAGGGGTGGGGGCAGAGCGACAGCAGAATTAAATGCCTGCAAGATAAGAAATCAAAAGATATCGGAGTGATCAGCTGTGCGAGACTGCCACCAGGTAGCACAGAACAAAGACATACGCTGAAAGTGGACGTTCACCTCAAGAGTGAGCACACATGCCCAAAAACAGGGGCTCCCCAAGCACCCATTTTTCGAGTTACACCGCACCACACCTTGGTCGGCAACGACCTTACAAAGTGCAATCGGCGTCGGACTTACTCGTCTCTGGGATGTGGGAAACCAGGGCCTGGGGCTCCTGGGGACCCTCGGTATCACAGAGAGCCGCCTCCTTCAGCCCATTCTCATGGGCAGCGGGGGCCCCCACCTGCCCAGACTCTGGGCCAGGGCCAAGGGCGAGGGATGGTGTCCCAACACCCTCACCTGTCTCCTGGGGCCCCTCAGCCTAGAAACACACAACAGGGTGGGGCAATTAAATGGAGATGGCACAACCTGGCTCCAAATCAAATATCACTGCAGTTGAAAAAAAAAAAAGAAAAAAAAATGAAATCGATTTCAGAATGGAGGAAGTGTCAGCGATATAACAATCATCTAAAAATAATCCAAGTAGTCGTTGACACATTTTGGGGAAAAAAAAAAAAAAGATCTGGAGCCAGACCACAGGGGTGAAGAATGGGCATAAACAGTGAAAACGAAATGAAAACAAGAGGATAACAAAGTGAGAATTTACAAATGCCTCGAGAATGGGATGGCAGACACCATTGTCAAAATCTATGCACAGTACAGGTGGGAAAAGGTGCAAAATGATTCTTTGCAGATAAATGGAGCATGTTTCTGAGATTGCGAGAGATTGACTCCTTATTTTATTTCATTATTACTTTTTTTTTCCCACACACGCACACAACAATGGAATTCAAAAGATGTCTGAAAATAGGCAAAAAATGTCTATTCTTAGCTGCTCGTTTGTTTTTCACTCTGCGTGAAGGCGCAGGACGTGACTCCACGACGGCGGCGTGTGAAAATAAACAGCGTGAGAAAAATGCATGAGCAAGCAGTGATTATAAAGCACAGATGAAGGCTGAGGGGGGCAGGTGACACCACAGGTCCAAGATAAACCGAACGCTCCACAGGAAAAGGTCATTTTGTAACTCGTTTGCGTAATTTTGGGGGAAAAAAAATGCCATTCAGCTCTTTGTCGAACAGCGATGGGGCATTTGCGCACTCACTTTGACGCTTCCTCCTCCAGGTGAGTGGCTCACGTTGTCCATGGAACCCACTTTGGACTGCGCTTTTTCCCTAAAGTTGATTTTATGCGACTCAATCTTCACAACGCCGCCACCTGCAGCACACACGCATAAAACCACTGCGGATGAGTCCCGAATAACGGCGCATCGTCCATTTTGCTCAAAATCTAGCGAGCACCCAACAAAGCTTGAACGCCGAACATTTCCAGCCACAAACGAACTTGCTCTCATCTCACCGGGCTTGTGCTTGATGTTGTCCTTGGAGCCGCACTTTGACGTCACCTTACTTAAATCGACCTTCTTATTGAGAATCTGCACCTGTGAAATATTATACAGGCCCTTTTAATTGTCATCATTTCAAGTTTTGAACATGCGCACGCACGCACGCACACACACAATCCTTGTTGGCAGATGTGTCGTCTTCAAACCTGCACCAGACAAATTCTCGACAAAGCAGCGAGAGGACAACGTGGCGTCAGGAAACCAGAATTTTTGGGTGTGGATCTGACAGCGACTTGGCTTTCATGAAATAGTGAACGTAGGATGGGACGGGGAAATGCAGGAATAAATTAGGGAAGCAAGCGGAAGGGACGGACAGGGTGTGTCTTGCTTGCATATTTAGTTTTAGACCACACTCTTGACCTACCAAGAGCTGTCATGGAAAGGCTTCAAAGTGGTCGACACGGTCGCTTTCACTCCATCAGAGCGTCTAAAGTATTTCATCAATTGCCCCGCACCTGTAAACTCCGGCGGTGGGCCGGCCTGTACTTACATTCCCTCCACCAGGAACGTGCTTCATATTGTCCTTGGAGCCCAAGCGTGCGCCGACGTGACTGAAGTCCAGTTTTTGGGAGACTATCTGAACCTAAACGGAGCCGGCACAGCAGCCGGAGATGGACAGGGGAGCGGCAGCGGGCGGGTGGAGGTGATTTGAGAGGGGGAGAGGAGGAAAGGATAGAGGAGCAAAGAGGAAAGAATAAGTCACGGTCAAAGCTTTGGTTAGCCAGGAAAAGCGCAGACGGATGCGGCAAGGTTCACTTGGGCAAAAGTGATCATTTGATTGACACGACGGGACGCTTTGCTTTGCAGTGGCCGTCACACTGTGAAAGGAAGGTTTCATTTCTCGCTCTCATTTGGATGAAGGCGTAAAAACGATGCACTCTTTTTCTTATGACTCGCATAAAGGAAGAAGAAATACGGGCCGAAGTAATCTGAAGATTTTTGTTTTTTTTCCGTCCATTTGTGTTGGCAGAGGTCATGAATTCTATTTAGTGTCGTTATCGCAACATGATAACCCCTCCTCACGTGCAAAAAAAATTGCTATTATTGAAAATCTTTTTTGCATGAATTAGTATATGTTAATGAAATAGTCAATTACATACATAAGTTAACTTTTGGTTATATGCATGCGCCATTCCATGAATGCTATTATTCATACCGCCCTAACAAGATTGATCTTTCCTATAACCTATTGCACCATAAAGAAAAAATATATATAAATTGCATTTCTTACATCGTTTGTATATTTCGAGGGCAGTTGAATGCGCACAATTTAGTTGATGTGACACCCTTCTGTAGCTTAAACTCGCAAAAAGAATCCAAATAAGTGAACAGAGAGAAAACAACAAGGTGGGCAAAGAAAGAGAATTCAAACGATACGAAACGGGAGGAATATGAAGGCAGTCAGAGCAGAGGAGGGAGGAAAAGAGGGCGACGGGGAGGATGGCGAAGGAACTCACTTTGACCGGGCTTTTTTCTTTGGAGGCGGGGACCCTGCCCTTAGAGGCAGCTGACACCTGGGGAGACAGGCCCACCCCGGGTCAGCGACAGACAGGAAGAGGCGCGGTGGCGGACGAGGACCACATGTGAGCATCGCATTGAGTGGACCTCACTGGCGCGCTGTTCCGACGGCTTATTTTTCTAATTATAGAGTTATCATATTATTCACGTGGAACTGAGACGAAAATAGGATGGCCCGTTTTTGGAACGAGAAAACTAACGTGTGTGTGCTCCCACCAAGCCGTCACCGATGGGAGAAGCAATAATGAGAGTGGTGACAAAAATAGACAGAATGCGATTAGCGTTTTCCAACAACACCCATATTATAGTTTACATGTCGCCAAAAGGTGCCCAAATTAATCGCACCTTTTTCTTTACCTTTCTATAATCGTAAATTCATCACTACTATAAGGATGCTGAGCTTGGAAAATGGAGCGATGGAAGGAAAGTGGCACATGCAGGGGGGGGGGGGGGTTGAGCAGGAGATGTCAAATTAACAGGATTGAAGGGGTCAAAAAAAAAAAGGACAAAAACAAATTCGGGAGGGAAAGGACTTCTATCTATTGTTGGTAATTAACAAGTAATAATAAGTTTATTACTTTTTTTGTGGCCACGCAGATTGGGACATCCATTAAGATTACGCATTTGATTAAAAATAAGTCATTTGAGGTATTATTGACACACTGTCGCATGGTCGAGAGGCCATTGGTGTCAGTAAGCATTGGAAGTTTGGAATTGGCAGTCCACGGCGTGAATCGAACCAACCTTCCCACCCCCTGGCTGGTGCTTGATGTTGTCCGTAGAGCCAATCTTCGAGCGGGCGTTGTGGATATCGGGGGCCGTCGCCGTGCCGGGACGGGCCGTGGTCCTTGAGGTGCTTGCCGTCGTGGTTGTCGTCGTGGAGGAGGTGGCCCTGGGAGCACGAGGAACCGTGGGCTTCTTGTCTGTCACCGCACCGGCGGTGGTGGAAGACGAGCTTGTTTTCGGGGCGGCGGTGCGGGTGCGAGAGGCGGCGGTTGTCGTGGAAACGGAGCTGCGCATCGCGGTGGTGGTGGTGGTGCTCCTGGGTTTGCTGGAATCAGCTGCTAAGGTGAGGCGAGCAAGAGAAAAAATGTTATCATAAAATAAATGAATAAATAAATAAATAAATCTCTTATTTTGATTTTTCCGGAATGTGTATTTTATTTTTAGGAGACTGCGCCTACTTTCTGTGCAAATCACATCAGGTTAGTCGTTTACTTTCATTTCCTCTCCCCAAAAAGTTAGAATTTTACATTCAATTCAATGGAAAAGTTTGGAAAGGATTTATCAGTGGATTGCAGCCACAGCTGGCTTTTGAACAGCGGCGTGTACTTTTTTTTTTTTCAAGTCACCATACTCTGACCGGCGACGGAACGTGGAGGCAGTGCAGCATTCGCTTCAATTCTAATGTATTCATCCTCCTCTATTTTGTAGCACGGCAGCCTTTTTTTTTTCTTTTTTTTTTTCTTTTGGAGTGCTGAGATATGCAGAGCGCTGCGCTCCTGACAATCTCTCCCGGGAGCCGCGTGCATATCTCCAGCTCCTCCTAAAGATGTGTTCAAGGAAGGAAATCCTCCCCTTGCTTCCACGTTCAAGTGCGATTTGCCTGAGTGTAAGTACCGTGGCAGATTAAACAGCCCCGAGCTGTATCGTCACTGCTGTCAACGGCAGCGGGACAGTAATCCCTCGCCTGCAGCGGTGAAGGTTTTCAACTTCGGAGCAATCAACTCTTTCACCCGCTTCTCAAAGCTTTCCAGCATTGTCATCGGTGGCCAGTGTGTGTGTGTGTGTGTGTGTGTGTGTGTGTGTGTGTGTGCGTGTGTGTGAGAGATGTCACACTCTTGACAGCTCCTCAGCTGCCGTAATGTAAACTCATCTGTCTGCGGGATGATGAGAAAAGCTTTGGTGAAACGGGAGTGACAAACAAAGGGTGACATATGAGCAAAGGGCAAAAGAGCAGAAAGTGCACAGTCACTCTTTTTGCGAGTGGGAACGATTAGCAGCTTTTACGATGACGAAGCGGAGCGATCTGAATTTGAAGTGATCCGTTTTGTGGGTTTTTTTTTTTTTTTAACATTACACAGCAGGGTTGGGCAATGTGAGGAAATGGAAAAGTTGCCAAAGGGCCACGCCGACACGCTAACCTCAATTGTGTACCTTATTATTTTCAATGTATGTATCGAAAGCAAAATATTGTAGTGGTTTCATAATTTGATGATTAGGTGTATGTTGTTATATTTTTGGGAATAAAAATGACATTTGGCCTTTTATTTAAACATTCACGAAAACATGTCGCTGTGCATTTTTTTCCCCGACATTTTTGTGTGTTGACATGGTGATTACCAAACACTAACTCATGTTAGCATTCTTACCTGGGCACTTAGCAATGATTTAAAAAAAATAAAATGAAATAAATCCACTACTTCAGTACTGTATCGCTAAGTCAGCAAAATTGAAACCTTTTATAAGCACTGGACTGTAATTGTGGTGATGTATTCGCTAAGTCAGCAAAATTGAAAACTTTTTATAAGCACTGGACTGTAATTGTGGTGATGTATTGCTCAATGGATACATTTTGCAATGCTTTGCATGTGCATTATTATTATTATTTTTTTTTTTTGCAGGTGTCTTATTATGGACCAATACATTTGAGGACAAAGTGCATCTATACCTGTGGAAGTCTTGAGAGTGCCAGGCTTCTTCTCTCCACTCGGTTGGCTGTCTGTCTTCAAGCCTAAGAAAATGATTGAGGAAGAGAGTCACGCATACCCGCGCCACTTATGAAATCCAAACTACGACTAGCGATAACCACACCTTATACAAAACAGTAAAGTACCAACTGTCAAATATGTACACCGTTTTTTTTTTTTCCCAACCAGATTTGGGTCAACTTTCAACATACCTCAGCAGGCTAGGTCAAACATGTCAAATCAGCTTTCTAGAAACACGCTGTCAAGTCACATTAGGATCAAACGATAAAGTCTGCCTCACCCAGGGGCTTTTTGGTTGCCGTGGCGGTCGCACTGCGGGATGACAACGTTGTGCGCGTTGATGTGGTCGTTTTAGTGGTGGTGGTGGTTCCATTTTTGGAGCCCGCAGTGGCAGAGGAGCCCGCATGACTTGAGGTGGCAGTGCTGGCCTTTGGCACGAGGGGTCGCCTCTCTGTGGGTGTCTGATTGGACACATCGCAGAGGAACAACACATTTGTACTTCATTACTCCCCACCATGGAAAGTGCAGCCGCAGTGACTGTTACAACACAGCGAACACGACAAATACGGCGCAGTAAAGCCCATTATGTAACTATTGTCTTGATTTCTGACTGAACAGAAGAAAAAAAACAAATCTGGGCCAAACACGCATGTAACATGCAGATTTGGCCCTTGTTGACAATTGCAGATTTCATTCATCCGCATATCCCACAATTCCGGGGATGATGTCACGCTCCACTTACTGCTGAGCCCTCCTACTACACGCTAGCCACGATGAACCGAGTCACCCTGCACCTGTGGGCATGGCGCTGCTAAAAAAAGCCTGCCTATTTATCATCGGGAGTGTCACCGCGTGCTGTAGTTACGGAAGCAACCAGAAGAGGGCGACAACGGGCGGCTGAAAGGCTCCCTGACAAGTGACAAGACTTTTGGGTAAGAAGTCAAATCCTGCAGTGAATTTAAGCAGGAATTATGCTGGCGATTTCCATTACGAGCTTCTAATGACTCTTGTTACATTAGGACTGCATTTATGCCCCCCGGATTTTTAGCAATACATGTTGAATGACTCATTTTAAAAACAAAGCCGAAGAAAGTCAATTCAGAAGGTGCTGTGCAACTTACCAATGAGTTGCATCACATCTTGTAAACTAATTTTGACCTCTCGGGACTTGGGAAATGCAGACATTTTCATAAATTAACAGTTTTATGACATGTGTGAGCAGTGAAATGTTCTGACACATGACCTGATGGGCTTACCTTGGGTTTAACATCCCGTGCAGCGGCAGTGGCTGAGGATGAAAGGCGGCTGGCGGTATTTGTGGAGGCCCGCTTTGGGACCCCAGCGGCTGCCGATGGTGGCTTGGTTGCTGTTTTTTTATCTAAGGTGGAAGTGGTTGAGTAGGGAGCGGGGCGCTTAGCAGGTGCCGCAGTAGAACCACCGCCACCACCAGCAGCGGCTGTGACCTGCCGTGTTTTGGACATGGTGCTCGGTTTTGTGACCCCGGCAATGGGCTGATGCGTGTGGCCGAGACAGGATAGATGCAGGTCAAAAAAAAAAAAAAAAAGAAGGATAAAACAAAGGAAATAAAACAAAGGCAAAATCATAATAACAGCAGAAGCAGCAATTCAATTGCAAATTGGGTGAAATTATGGGATATATAAAATAATAGTTGCTGGACATGTGTGCTGTATTCAGTTGGATTCCGACACGTCGTAGGAACGGAACTCCGAGTACCCCCCCACCCTCCACGTAATCATTTGACATCTCCATTAAATCTTACCTTCGTCTTCTTGTCTGCACTCGCCAAGTCTTTGCTCGGTGCGGCGCTGCTCCCATTGGTGGAAGGTTTTGCCTTTTTGGCCTTCTCTCCTGCATCTGCTTTCGCAGCCTTTTCCTTCTTGTCATCCTTTTTCTCCCCCACTTTTTTGTCACTCGGCAATTTCTCCCGCTTCTCTTCCTTCCCGCCGATCTGCTTCGCTGCCTCCGCCGCTTTCTCCGACAGTTTCTGCGCTTCGTCCTCTTTCTCGGCTTTGTGTGTTTGAGTCGAAGGTTTGGTGGCTTCTTCCACATCGGCGGCGGCCGCGTCAGCTTTCTTTTCCGCCTTGTCAGGAGCGGCGTCAAGCTTGACAGGTGTCGGCGGCTGCTCGGGGGTCTTTTCCACTTTGGGTTGGACGTGTTGCTCTTGGCTGCCCTTCGTCTCTGTCTTGTCAGTCGTCTTGGTGACTTTGTTCTCGACACTTTTTACCGCCTCCTCTGCTTTTTTCTCGACTTTGTCTGTCATGGGCGCCTTTTCTACTTTTTCTGCCTTGTCAAACGTCTCTGCCTTGACCAATTTGTCCGCAGCTTCATCAGGCTTGCTTGCTGGATCCACTTTTTCTATTTTCTGTGGGACTAATAACTCCACTTTCTGTGGCTCGTTGCCTTTCCGTTTTTCGTCAGCCTCCTCTGCTACCTTTGCCTTCACCTTTTCAGACTCCTCCTCTTTGACTTTCACTGCCTCTTTTTCATGAGGAACCTTTTCAGCGTCTTTCTCCTCAATCACTTTCACGGTCGCTTTCTCTTTCACCTGAAAATCTTTTCCCTCCGTTGCCTTTTCAGCCTCTTTTTCCTCCCGCTCAACGTTTTCAACTTCTTTCCACAAATTGAGATCCGTTTGTTTTTCTTTCCCGAAATCTTTCTCCACCATGGCTGCTGGCTCACTGATTGCTAATTCAACCTTTACGCTCCTCTGCTCAGCTGGATCAATAAGGTCCACCTTGGGCTTCTCCTCCTTTTCGTTCGACTTGGCAACATGGTCTAAATTTTTACAGAGGGGGGAAAAAAAAGCTCTTCAATTATTTGGTTCAGCAAAGGCTTCAGCAATCCAATTAAACCATTTCAACATTCGCGAGTCTTTAAACTACGTGAGGAAAAAATATATATATTACGAATGTGGTCAGGGGAAGTTGGCTGAAAATATTCAGCAGATGTAGCACGACACACACAAATGTGTGTTACGTTGACTCACTCAATGAAACATCTGCATCGGCCGACCTCGGGTCGTGATGACCTCACGCAGGCTCAGGCAAAAATACAGTCGACACGCTTTGACCCATTTATGCTACAAACCCTCACGGGGATAAAACAAAATGCCTTGTTGCGCTAATTGAGATAATTTGGCACATTCATCACCCAAGCAGTCATTCGCTATTTCATTGGCAGGTTACGGTTTCTGGTTCCCGTGCTATTTTTGGAAATACTCCATGACCTGGGAAAACACATGAAATTGGATACAATACAGCAGATCTGAATCAGAGCTCTGGCAAAATTGGAGGAAAATTTGATATGTTACAGATGTCCGCTGGAGCAACTGCATTAGAAACCCCTGAGAAATAACTCGTCAAGGGGTGCTTCTGTTTTGTGTCTGTGTGAAATGCAGGTATAAATAAACGACCCAAAACTTCCGGTATGGACACTAAATCACAACTGGGAATTGAAACCTGAAGTGTATATCCAGGCTTGGGGGTTGGCACATAATGACAGACAACCATTTCACACTCTCATTCACACCGTAACTGACAGTTGACAGTGCCACCTGATTATTGGCTTGATAGACTCAGGAGCTATTCAGCAACATTCGCTAATGTGACAAAGATCGTCATGACGTAACCCGATTTACAACAACACTTCTAGGCAATATCATATCAATCAATGACAGTGAGTAAGATGGTAAGTCAGAATGATATCTTGAGCTATATTGCCGCATGTCCTGGTTTTTAGCACGGCATCGCTAGAACAGTGGCACATACTGCTGACTTTCATGCAGAAAAGTGCGGGTTCAGTTCCCGGTGACTGCCCAACACTCAATAGAGGGCAACGTTCACCTTGCGCGTTCCTGAGAAGGCTTCATGATTTATTCACAATGCCCGCAACTGGAAGCATCCATCACTGACACAATGTGCTTTGGAGGGTGAAGTGCATGTCCGTGAAAGGGTCATTTTGAAAACCAATATTTCATGAGAGGATGTGAGCACGGAGCAGGTCAAGTATAAATGCCAGGTCAAATTGGAAAAAAAAAAAAGACCATTTTGGAATGGTTCAAGGAGCTTGATGCACAGTGGTTGCAAATTGAGAGACCGCACAATTTCCATGAAGCCATACTAACAGAGAAATCAGATTTTTTAAATAAATGTTTCTGCCAAGGCTCTTTCCATTCTCTGTCTACTATCAAACCTTGTGCAGCATTGAAAAGTCACTGCTTTTCAATTTGTGTTTCACTCGCCCCCTTTCAAACCACTGGACACACCCCGCCCCCCTTCTAGTTCAATAAGTTCTCCCAGTGCACAAGGATAGCAACGGTTACTCTACTGCAACTGCAATCAAGGCCGTTGTACACCAACCCACGATCAACGGGTTCAACACAGCATAAGACTATCAGATAACCTGCAAAGTGTTCATATTCATGCACAAAATAAAACGTCCTATCGACAATTAGCTTTACGTTCAAAACACTGGACGATCTGATTTGAGAGGTGCACGAGCATTGAACAGAAGCAATAATAAACTGGACCTCCAACCTACCATCCAATTTGATGATGGGGTTAGTCGCGTTCAGGCCAAACTTGTGAGAAGGACTTACGACAAGATGAACATCCGGTTGCGCAGCTGGTTTGTTGCCCACTTTCGAATCGGAAATAAGCTTAGCATCGGGTCCAATATAGTCCAAGTCTCTATCTGTAGCCGGTTTACCAAAACTATCTGAGCCAACTGTGAAGGCAGAAGTGTAGTCCATGCCACCGCAAGCTTTGGGGCTGGGCGGCACTGGAAGAATAATGCTTCTTTGCTCTTGTTCCACCTTAAACCCTTCCGAGGGTTCTTCGAGGGACATCGGAAGGGTTGTATTGCTGTCTCTCAGCGGTAGGAATGGAGAGAGACACAGGTGAGGCTCAGGTGGGGTTTGCCTCAGGTCGACGTGTGTGGTCCCGGCTGCCGAGAGGGTTGGCGGCGTATCTGGGTGCGGATCTTCTGCAACTGTCAATGAGCGCTGCATGTAAGGCTGGGGCCGACGTGACCCACTCACCGGTGACACGAGCTGGTCCAATCCTGCCAGTTCACCCCCGGGGTATTTGTCAGAAAGCTCTAGGCTGGTGGGCACTGACAGGTGGGAACAGTCAGACATGGCGCGTCGCATCGCCTTCCTCTGCTGCTGTGCTCTCCCCATGAAACAGGGCTCCAATTCCTCCTCGCCTTCTTCAGCGTCTTCCTCCTCGCTACTTTCTCCAGAAGAGCCCACTGATAATAGTTGCTCCTCGAGGGGCCCTTTGCCTCCAATTTTATCCTCATCGGTTCTCTTTAAGTAGTCCTCACCGATAACGCCCGTGGTACAATAGTTAGGAGGCACCTGGGGCATGGCAACCTTTGGCCTGGACTCAGTAAAACCGGAGATGTTCCATGATTCAGAGGGAGAGTATCCACCTAGAGTAGGCGCTTCAATTGAGGGGACTCCCATCGAGTTTGAAGGCAAGGCTGCGGTGGGCGTCAGCATCTGCATGCGGCCGGCTGGCGATTGAGGAACTGCTGGCAGAGAGACCCGACCGCTAACGCTGCTTTGCAGGGGAGGCGTGCAGGGTAGACTGCCAGGGGAAGCTGGCGAGGGGAAGGGGGAAAAGGAGCGGGGGCTCTCTGGGCTCTCTCCTGCACTGCCGAGTGAAGGGAGCACCAAGGAGGTACTTCCAGGCATGGTTGCAACCCCGTCTTGCGCCTTCATTTCAACGTCCGTAGTGGCCTGTTGTGTCTGCTCAAAGAAGCGCAGCTTTTCTTCGCCGCCGAGGCCAGTGGGCGACTGGGATCCACGACCTATTCCCAAACCTCTCGGCGTGTCCACGTCCATGCCTGAGTGACGCTGCCAATCCCAACTCTGAGTCGGTCCTGTTGGTGACAGGGATGCCCCCTTACAGAGCTCACTATACTCTGTGAAGGGAGATCCACTTTTCTGATCTGAGAGAGACGACATCCTGTCTCCCTTTTTATCTCTCAAATTTCTCTCGTTTCTCACCCAAGCGGTATCGACTGGATTTCAGGAGCTTGAATGTTGATCTTCACTTTGTTTTCTTTGCCACTCAGTTGCCAAAGAATGCCGTTAATTTGGGGGAAGTCCTTCTGTACCTCCAACGCAAACTGATGCTGCACTGAATGTGCACTTCTGTCTTGCTTGCTCCGTCTCACTCCCTCACTGCTTCACACGCCGCTTCCTGAGCTTGTCACGTGACCCAGTTGTGAATGCCAACTGGTTACTTGCAACACCCAAATCCCGCCCCTCGCGGTGGAGTGAGTAAGCCCCCTCCCTCTTCAGTTTTCACTTTCCCTTCACGTCTTTCTCGCCCTGAGACACACACACACACACACACACACACACACACACACACACACACACACACACACACACACACACACACACACGCACAGCTGTGCCCTTGAAATTTTCCTTCAGGTGTCTGAAGCAAGGAGAGCAAAAGGCCTTCTGCAGGGCTAGTTTATGACCACCTTATCTTCTCTCCGAAGCTATCGTTTGTCCAGCCCATTTCAACAAAGACGACAAAAAGAAATAGCTTCCTCCTCCAAGTTAAAAGATGAGTAAGGGCTGGAAGAATGTTACATACTTCCATTTGTCCTAAAAGGAGTGGCGAGATGTGAGTTCGGGCAAGACATAGGGCGCGTCTGCAGTCTGTCGACTCATTACAAGCGGGTAGGACAAGAACAGCGACAGATCAGAGGGGGGTGGAGAGGAACCCTCTGGTAAAGAGACCTTGTTATCTGTCACAATGAATCTGGTCACATTGTGGAGAATCACACTCCATTACCCTCAATAGCACTACAACAATGTTTACAAATATAAAATTAGCTCGAGCGGCGATGGAAATGATAATTATAAGTTAAAAAAAGGGGGACAACCATGTCTTTTTTTTTTCCCCCTGCAGGTAATTTCAAATGACTGTCATCATTATTACTATGATGTTTTGAGTTTTTGTTTTTTTCAGATCTGGCTGGTTCATGTTGCCCTTAAGTAGTACCGAGAGTGTTCTGATTCAATTTTCTTCATCCCATATTTCAATGCTTAATAGTCAAAAACTTACCCAATAAGCTAAGTACCATTGGAAAGTCTGCATTGGCTTCAAATCAATGAAAAAGGGAAAAAGGACGACTGCTCAATACATAAAATCAAAGACGGACAGGTGGGCAGCTGCGGCCAGACAGGTCCTGAGGTGCAGGCAGATGGCCAGCTGGTGTACTGTCACTGCATCTGTGTGTCAAGTATGCTAACCGATTTACCCGCTGCTCTCTGTTTGTTTGCAAAACGGACTTTTCATGGTGGGTTTCATGGAGGCAAGACAAATAACAGGGGCGACCAAACGAATGGCCTACTGAGTCTGACTGGTTGGCAGGGCAAAAGAAAAACAAAGACATTCTTATATAATCCCACTGTGCGACCAAAATGCAGAAGCCACCAGGAGGGCATACAGATGAGGGGGAAAAAAAAAATCGGTGTCACAATGCAGCTGCAGAAATTATTAAAATAATAAAAAAAATAAAAAAAAAGAAGAATGTTTATCGTAACAAGATTCAGGTGTGAGTATTGAATTCATTTTCCCTGACATTTATAGAAAAAAAAATAGACAATGTGAGGGTATAATATCAATTGTCTGCCATCAATTAAGTGTCTTTAGATTGAGATGCCTCATAAAGGCAGCGGTAAAAAGAAGCAAAGATCACAGGTATGGAAGAAAAAAAAACAAAACACTGTTATCACCGCAGGGCTGTCACAGATACGGATGATGTAGACAGACAGTCTTTAGTGGTGTCTATTTATAGCTGCATCTCATCCGCTTGCCAGCCTAGTCACAACACCCCCTTCTTCGCTAAACATCTATTGTTCCCGCAATGGACTCTTCTTCCCATTAGTTACCAGAGCAACTGCCTCCTGTTGCTATGGTGACCAACTCCTCAGCTGTGTGCCTGTTCCAGCCATGTTTGGTGGCGAAAATTCCAGAAGACTGGGAGGGAGGGGGGCTGTGGGTGTTTCAGCCAACACCACAAGTCGAAGCAAATCTGGCCTCTACTGCGGGACAATATTTCTGGGCATTTCTATTTTTTTTTTTTTTTTTTTTAAACAATTGGCAACGTTCAGGAATGTTTGTCCTCATGAACAGCAGTGTTTTTGAAATGAAAATAATCAAGGCAACTGTCAATCAGTGCTTGTAGACTTTTTTTTCCCTCTCCCAACAATCGTGCATGTAATCAAACTGTATGATCACAAGGGAATTCATGCCGTCTATTCAAATAAAGTTGGAAAGCATCATTTGCCAGTCTGCAGCACTTGATGTGGAAAGCGGTTCATTTTGCAGAGCCGCAAAGACGAAAAAAACAAAAAAAAACAAAAACGTTTTCATGACGAGTGAAGCTCTGTTTTTCAGTCGGTCGGGAAATCGTGTTAAAGAGACACAACTACCAAATGACAAATCTGTTTGTGGGGTAAAATTTTAGCAAGCGAGGCATGAAAAGCAAAGCTTTTCACAAACCAAACAAACGATCGGCACGCTTTGCCTTCTTTCGGACTTTGACAGGAGTTCGCATCGAATTTGACTTGCGTCTTTATCGCTCGGCTTCCATTAATCTCTTTATCTTCCGCTTTGTCGACTCAGAAGGCGTCTGTTTTAATGTTCACTCGGCGCTTGTCTCGATCAGGTGAATTATCGGGTGTACATTTCAAGACAAAAAAATAAATAAATCTTGCAAAGCCAACATTTTGATTAGTTACGGGCCACACTTGGTTCGCTTTTGCCTCGGAGAAAAGGCGCACTTACAGTCATATTTTTCTGTCCAGACTAAGCAAGATGTGCCTGATTAGTGACGGGCCACACTTGGTTCGCTTTTGCTTCGGAGAAAAGGCGCACTTAGTCATATTTTTCTGTCCAGACTAAGCAAGATGTGCACAATGCTACTGTGAAGTTACTGCACACGCATACGCTGATGACATCCAAACCTGATGTGTTGTATAGTCATACTGTGCCCAATAAGGCTGGCATATTTTGACAAGGTACAAAAGTACGGGCCAAAATCTCAAAGGCTTTGTAATCAATGCAATAATCAATGACCATTTCCAATAACAAAAACATGCAAAAGAAAATAAAGGGAGACTCACCTAGAGTGGCAAAGTGTCCGAGTCCGCAGTCACAGCGCATGCAAAGTAAAAAAATACGATTTTAAAAATCGGGCATTTCTCAAAAAAAACCCAAAATAACACAAAAATGTGTATATAATTTTTTTTTTTTAAAAAGAGTTAATATCACTCCAATCATGATTCATTTCTGGGAAGAGGTAAAGAGACAGGCTGCGAGAGAAGACAAGAAAGTTAATAGAAGAGGAAAGAAATCGTGACATCCAAGACCTTGACGCAATGGAAACATGACACAAACAATACTGTATTAATGGAACAACAGTCGACAAAAAAAAAAAAGGATTTGGTTTTTGGAAATGACAGAGTAGATTCACTGAGGAGAACATTTGTCTGACTGGTTAGTAGCATCACACCTGTCACGAAACACGGTTAATGTTGTGCAATGCATTATAGGAAGGATTTAAGACTCTTTCAGATTCAAGTAATGCAATCCGGTTTGAAGGTCATTAGTCACACAGAAACACTCTGAACTGGACAAGGCAAAAAAAAGAAATAAACTACCATAATTCAGAAGTCTTCATGCAAAAAAACCCCAATACAAAACGTTCCCCTCACAATGCCTTCTAAATTTCAACACCACGCATCATGCTCATAACTATCATTGTATTCTCTAATGAACTGCTATTTGGTCCGCAACCAACCTTCGATGATGGGGGAAACCACACTCGGTTGTTCCACGGTATCAGCAAAGCTGGGAAAGAAGGGCTTTGCTGCCGGGTTAAGACCAGACGCCGGAGTTCCAAGCGAGACCAGTAACGGGGAGGAAGAGGGGCTAACACTCGGAGATTCTTGTGGAGTTAATTTCTTTGCTTCTGTGGTGGTGGGACTCTGAGCGGAGGAAGTCGAGGAAGAACGAGACTTCTTGGATGGTTTCTTGTCCGGCTGCTCATTTTTGTGCTCGATGATTTGGACTTCCTGGGCGGCGGTTTTAGGGGAACGAAGTGGGGCTGGGGAAGGGCTGTCAAATGCCAGGCCTACGGCCACGGAATGACCGGAAGCGCTCACGTCACTGAAGTCAAACGGCTCGCTGTTGCTGCTGGCGTGGGAGTTGTTCAGGAGCCACGACGCATCCGAAGGGGAAAGGGGCGGAGCCGATGCAAACACCTCGCCGTTGGTGGAAAGGGCCGAGCCTGGCTGGGACGAGGGGCTAAAAACAGAGGTTTCGATATCGATGAGGGATTGCATAGCAGGCTCTTGGAAGGAATCGGTGTTGTCAAACATCCCACTGTCAACCGCGTCGCCCGAGCCGACGGGCTCGGTGTCGATCAGCGCTTCGATCGTTTCACGGGGACTAGCGGCCACGGGGAAGGGGTCAACTGGCCCGGCGCCGGCAGAGCAGGGCATAGTGAACGGAGTCGCCGTCGCTTTCAGCTCGCTGTTCAAGACCAGTGGGCTGATGGAAACCGGTGCAGGCGCCAATACATCATGGGAAAGTGAAGAAGGCACAAGGCCTTCCTCTTGAAAGATCTCCTCTTTCCAGGGGGTCTGGCTGGTATTTAGGTCAGCAAAGGAGAATTCCATGCTTGGGAGAGTTGAACTTCCAAGATCCTGCCGAACGTCTTGGGTGATTGGACCTGCGGATGAAGTGGCAAACGGCTCCGGAGACACTTCCCACTCTTCGGGAATCTTCTTCCTGCTTTTGCCCTTCTTGCCTCGTCCACCGCTCTTCCAAATTTGTTCCTCCCATCCGCCCTCTCCACTATCTCGCTTCGGTTCAGGCCTTTGGTCGAACAACTCTGCTGAGGGAGCGCTTTCTCCAGGCGACTGCGCTTCAAGGTGACCCTTGCTTTCGAAGTGTTCGTAAGATCCCTCCTCTTTCTGTCTCCTTTTCTTCTTTTTCTTCTGTTTCCTGTCCGATTCCTCTCCGTCCCTTTCGTCACCTCCGGCATAAGCGACGCTTTCTCGGCCGGCCAAGGACTTGGGTGGCTCATCGCGAATCATTGCGAGATTGTTAGCATGACGACTGATCACAGAGGTTACACTGGGGGTGAAAGGGAGGTCCGTCGGAAGGCAGGCAATCGGGTCTGGCCAGCAGTCACCTAAGGCACCTTGTTGTGGGTGAAGAGGGAAGAGTTTAAAGTTGGGGTCGTTACGTTGGGGGTGAAAATCAACTTCATTACGCTGAACATTTTGACGATTAGAACGAGCAATGCAAAGCCTTTACGCCACATTTCAATGCCATATGTTAAAGGACATTTCATTTTATTTTGGACTTGGGGCAACGCGTCTGCATTTCATGACCCCGAATGTGACATTTCTTTCCACGAATATTGCAATGGAACATCTGAAGTTGAACTCGTCTCAGTTTCTCTTCGCTCCAGCGCACGCAGACACAAATACGCATTCATTTGTTCCCAATAAATGGGACACCTCCCCGGCCGCATACCTTACAAAGGCTCTCTGGAGGGCTTTAAGTGCAAGAAGAAGCCTACGCAATTCTGCTGTCTGTGCACTTTAATTGGGACAAGCTGAAACGTGTTCAGTGGGACTCCAATCAGGACTTAGACAACCTCATTAGGTTGAGAGAAGACACGGAAAAAAAAAAAAAGTACCAGTATCTCACCGCTAGAGAAAACAAAGTTACAATTCAAATCATTGGCGCCCATGAGATGACGTTGGAAAATTCTTCAAGTGGCGAGTCTGGCATTAATTCCTGTAAAGTGACCTTGAAATCAAATTTGTGGCTATTTAGAAGAGTGCGGGAGGACAGCAGCTAGCGCAGAAAGCTCTCCTATGTAGGATAAACACAAATACAGCACGCAAACGCATGGATGCAGTACTAGAGGCCCCTGAAACGTTGGACACTTGTATACATGACAGCATCAGATGTGAATCGACCTCAAGCCCGATGATTAAATCTGATCTGAGCTGGTGTGCGTGCGAGAGGCAGAAGCTCTCGAAAGGAAGACAGACAGCTGATCTGCGTCATGCCTCCAGTGGAGCAAACAGCAGCAGTCGTGTTTGTTATGATACATTTAGCAAAAAAATAACATACACTGAGGATGCCGGGCATGAAGAACATTATTTGAGCTAAATAACAAAATCATGACACATGACATTTGTGAACAGTTTCAAAGTCAGTGACACCAAAACATACCTGATTGGTGTTCCAAAACGTCTTTGAAATGACTTCTACAACTCAAATAGTCGAGTGTTTCATTCAAAAATGAATAAAGAGACCACACATTTTCATCTGGGAAGGAAATTTGGATCTAACCACACCTCAATTGCTAATTCAGTGTTTATCACGTGTGCTAATAAATATATTGCTTCTTTGTCCATATCAAAAGTGAAAGAGTCTTCTTAATCTTCAATTATCAGCTGCACTTGACCATTTGACAAAAGAACAGTGTCAAAATCTAAACCTCGACACAAGGAATGTTAAACATAGCGTTAAAAACCCCTTTGGCAGTTTTAAAATAGGACATTATGCTGCTTCAGCTCCTCTGCGATAAAACATTCATAAGGAGTGGCCATATGTTAAAGGACATTTCATTTTATTTTGGACTTGGGGCAACGCGTCTGCATTTCATGACCCCGAATGTGACATTTCTTTCCACGAATATTGCAATGGAACATCTGAAGTTGAACTCGTCTCAGTTTCTCTTCGCTCCAGCGCACGCAGACACAAATACGCATTCATTTGTTCCCAATAAATGGGACACCTCCCCGGCCGCATACCTTACAAAGGCTCTCTGGAGGGCTTTAAGTGCAAGAAGAAGCCTACGCAATTCTGCTGTCTGTGCACTTTAATTGGGACAAGCTGAAACGTGTTCAGTGGGACTCCAATCAGGACTTAGACAACCTCATTAGGTTGAGAGAAGACACGGAAAAAAAAAAAAAGTACCAGTATCTCACCGCTAGAGAAAACAAAGTTACAATTCAAATCATTGGCGCCCATGAGATGACGTTGGAAAATTCTTCAAGTGGCGAGTCTGGCATTAATTCCTGTAAAGTGACCTTGAAATCAAATTTGTGGCTATTTAGAAGAGTGCGGGAGGACAGCAGCTAGCGCAGAAAGCTCTCCTATGTAGGATAAACACAAATACAGCACGCAAACGCATGGATGCAGTACTAGAGGCCCCTGAAACGTTGGACACTGTATACATGACAGCATCAGATGTGAATCGACCTCAAGCCCGATGATTAAATCTGATCTGAGCTGGTGTGCGTGCGAGAGGCAGAAGCTCTCGAAAGGAAGACAGACAGCTGATCTGCGTCATGCCTCCAGTGGAGCAAACAGCAGCAGTCGTGTTTGTTATGATACATTTAGCAAAAAAATAACATACACTGAGGATGCCGGGCATGAAGAACATTATTTGAGCTAAATAACAAAATCATGACACATGACATTTGTGAACAGTTTCAAAGTCAGTGACACCAAAACATACCTGATTGGTGTTCCAAAACGTCTTTGAAATGACTTCTACAACTCAAATAGTCGAGTGTTTCATTCAAAAATGAATAAAGAGACCACACATTTTCATCTGGGAAGGAAATTTGGATCTAACCACACCTCAATTGCTAATTCAGTGTTTATCACGTGTGCTAATAAATATATTGCTTCTTTGTCCATATCAAAAGTGAAAGAGTCTTCTTAATCTTCAATTATCAGCTGCACTTGACCATTTGACAAAAGAACAGTGTCAAAATCTAAACCTCGACACAAGGAATGTTAAACATAGCGTTAAAAACCCCTTTGGCAGTTTTAAAATAGGACATTATGCTGCTTCAGCTCCTCTGCGATAAAACATTCATAAGGAGTGGGAGGTTCTTCTTGCGAGCCGAGGCTACACGAAACGTTGGTGACATGCGAGCAAATCTGCGGCGTGTTACCTGCTGACAGGTCCGGGGGGCTGCGAGGAGTTTGTGGTTCAGCCAGCATGGGGCTGTGGGGCACTTTCGGGCCCTCTGACCCTGCTGAGGGTGAGGGCTGCAGAGGATCGGCGATACTTGGAGGCTTCTCTGCGGTGAGAGCTGCAGTCCCCGCCTCCATATTCAACCCCGGGCCCGCGGGCTGGGAAAAACCTGAGAAACAAGAGACACAAACCCATCGTAAAGATGGACTGAGCGTGTTTGTGTGTTGAATCCTGGGGCGGTGATTCGGGGGGGGAGCGATGCCAATCCTCATCAAAGCAACGGTGACATCTGAGTATGTCGAGGTTGGCGTCGCGAAAGCCACAACTCAGCTTCTCATAACGTGTGAGGTTGCGTGCCTGTTTCTACTGTATGGCTCACCGCAAGCCAATTATCTGATTAGTATTAAGTACCGCGTTGGGGTGATTTGAGCACAACGGTACGCGTCACCATTTCAATACTAGTTGGCGGACATACAGATGTGCGCACACGTTTACATCCAAGTTCGGAGACAAACTGCTTGTGTACCTGAGAATAATCCTGTCGGGCTTGAATGTATCATTTGGACGGGGTTGGAAGGAGAGGTTGGAGGGTCTGGGGAACCGAGCATAGAGGCTGACAGGAAAGGGTAGCCACCAGGAGGAAGTCATACGAACAAAAAGAGCGGAAGAAGGGAAACGAGAGGGGGGGAAAGCCAAAGGAATAACATTAGTTCCTGTCATAGCTGTAGAGTCATGATATACATGCGTGTAAAATAGGTTGAAAAGCTGCAGCCAATAGGTTCAGTCTCCACCGATGACAATAATCCGCAAGCGGTTTCCTCAAAACCATTTGAGGATTTCAATTTGTAGGGGGGGGGGGGACTATTGAGAGAAGTCAAATCCTGAAAATTTCCTCGGAAAGCAAATCCGCTGTTAGCTTCGACACCAGCTGAGCGCTACGAACCGAGTGGACAGTGTGGGAGTTTGGATGAGCTGCTTGTAAAATACCCGTTTGTTTTCTGAGCACTGTGCTGAGGTGCCTCTGAGCAAGGCACTAAATGACCGACACTCAGAGATCCTGTTTGTATGTACTGCGAGTTAAAAAGAAAAAAAAAAAACTGGATCAAAATGATGTTAAATGCTGAAGGGCATGCCAGTTGTTGGTATGTTCAAAGTGAAAGTATGTTTCTCAATATATGACATTACAACGTCAAAATAAATAAAGAGATTCTCTCCATTCGCGCCGGCATTTGCAAATCTTTCCTTCATACCAGATAAGAAGTCTGCTGCCAAGAACTGCTGCGGATCAACTTTGTGCGGCTGCCCATCTCCCCGATGCTCTGGGAGTGACATTGATGTCTGCCCCCCTGTGGTCACTTTACAACCTGCAGTAACACAGAAAACATTGGAATAAGTGTTGCTGGCAGCATGCTGTTTTTTTTTTTTTTTTTTAAATCGAAATGTACACTGGGCAGTACGACATTGACAAAATATGAACCGTCGGGAATCGTTGATCATGTCCCCAAACTCTCACCTGCCAAATGGTCTCCCAAATGACGTCCCTGTTCCATTGAACTGATTGTCTGGAGATTTGTCTGATATGCGGGTCAGTGCGCCTTTGTCTCAGTCTCCACTGCAGCCGCAGCTGACTGAGCCAGTCACACTTTGAACCCCCGGTCGCATGCACACACACGCACACACAAAAAGAAGAGTGCTATTGCAGTCAGGGCGTCTGGGTGGGGTGTGACGTCCCGGGTCGTGGCCGCTAGTACCTCCCCTTGCCTGCCTGACTCGTAAATGCCCTTCAACCCAAACCAGTCTCCATCCAAGGGTTCTGACGGGACCGCGGGGATCAGAGCCCTCACCATTTGATTTATTGATGCAAGATGATCAATTTGACTGTCAAGATGGGGAGGAAGGAAGACAGACACGGCAGAAAGGAAACGAAGGGCAGAGAGAAAGACGAGGCGGATGATATTATCGCAACGACATGTTATTGTGGATTTTAAGAATGAGAATCCACAGGAAGGACGTACATGAAAGGGAGGAGGGCAGAAAAGAGAAGGAGGGAGGCGCCAATGGCAATCCTCTCCCAGCAGCATCCACAGGATGACAGTGAGGCGAACAGACAGGATGCCAACCAAAGTCACAAACACTTCCCACATGCGGACATGCAAAGCGCAGCCATGGAAAGGGGCTTATTGTTTGCCTCGACAAAAGGCGACGCGCTTATTGGAAGGGCTCGATGATTGATTCCCAACGGTGCGTTCCGTCGATTCCAAATGAACATTTGCTCGTGTCTTGGAGCCTTTTGGCGAAAAAAAAACAAAACGGTGCGTTCCGTCGATTCCAAATTAACATTTGCTCGCGTCTCGGAGCCCTTCGGCGAAAAAAACCACAAATATTTTGCAGGAACAACGCGTTGATGAAATCGTTGAAGTGGAAAGATAGCAGGAAGCCGTCCAACTTGTTGACATCACACGAAAACACTTGGTAAGGGCAGTCAGACACGAGGACGTTATGAGTTGCTAACATATGAAACACACAGATGCCACAGAACTCAGTGATTTCATGTGTACAAAACTTTTGATAAAATTGTCTCCATAGGCATATCCAACTTAAACCAAACTAAGTTAGGAAGGATTCCCATGATGGTGCCCAGTGGTTAGCTTGACCAGAACGCTATAATCAGGGATAAGCCAGCGGGACGGTTGAATGTCCTCCATGTGACCTCAGCCTCACCCTGCTCTCGCTATGCACCTTGTGTCAGCGTTGCCGCGGCACCGCAAGCACCCCGTGACGCTTCATCAAAGGGACAGATTGCAAATCTTTTCAGATGACAAAGATCAACCCCCTCCGGTAGTCTGAATCCATTTGAATCAACGGTGATTTGCACCTTATTTTGGGTGCACCGTCACGTTTGGCTTGGCGCACGCATTTAATGACGATCTTCTTGGGGTGAACCTGTCAAGTAATTACGTGATGAGGTGTTGACCACGCTGTTATTTTTGTGAGCTAATTGAGCCGACAAAGCGGTGCGCTCAATTTTAGATATTCTCGTAAGATTACACTCTGATTAAATGGCCAGGTTTTTTTTTTCAAGTTTGACGCTATTCAGCTGTACTGCCATGCACGAACCACGGCACGCTATCCTGGCATTTTGACGAGACCGTTGACAAAAACTGCCTGCACGTCTTTCTGGCAGAGGCTTTTCTGTATATCCCAAGAATTGTCATTCACCCTTCAACAATTCACAATGGAGATAACAAAGAGTCCATTTTCTAGCTATTCCTATTTCCCACTCTTGACTGTGATCATGTCCAATTCGGATGCTGAGCTACAGCAGCCGCTATTTTTATTTATTTTTTTTAATTCCAGCAATCCGGGTTCCTCAAATTTGCATTTTAAGCCGACATGCTTTTCAGCAAGTCATGGATATTTGTCTAAGCCGAGATGAGCGTATCTAACATTCACCAGCAGGGATTCAGTCAGCACGTGTCAAATCCACAGATGAAGCAAACAGGTGCACAGGAAGCGACTAATTGTTCGTCGACCACGCTAATGCCGTCCATCCCGTTCGTCCCTTGTGGCGATAAAGTTGCGCAAATCGGAAAATAGAAATCTAGAATACTCGTGTGGCGCAAGAGTTAATGTCAGTACAGTTCACGCTGTTATGATGGAGACCGTTGGACCCCTTTAAGGAACAATACTGTAAAACATCAACACATTGGATGTCGACAGATCCTCACAGCAAAGATTTTGCTCTCTTTAGAAATTTGCACCGTAATCATAAAGGCAGTCTTTTGGTAAATTATTCTGAAACGTCAGATCTGATGATTATGCAAAAGTAATGTAATTACACACCTCAGTGGCTTGTCCTAATTCAGAAAATGGTTCCTGTTTCGTAGCCGGGGATGTGATATTTGGAGTAAGCTTAAAAAAATAAAGGTGATGAATGCAAAGATCTCCCCAATGTCGAATCTTATAAGATGGTAATGTGCGGTGCATCATCTTGCTAAAAATAAAAACATTCTCATCCTCAAAAAGCCCTCCAAAGCTCTGCATTGAGCTATCATCTCACAGCTATTAAATTCCGGATACCTTTTGGGGGACACCAGATAGCGCCACAAATGAAGCCAAGGGCCCCCCCCATCCCAAGTTTAAACGCACACATTCACACATGCAAAACGCTCAGACAGATGAAAAGTATTCTTGTCAAAGGAGACGATTTCATAGAAGGCGGCTTTCGAATCCCCCACCCCACCTCGAGCTCGGGGATTAAACTTCCATATTCAAAGGCAGATTCATCCAGCAAATTGCACCAAATCATTTCATGTCACTTGGAACCATACGGATGATGTGCTGAAGCCCCCCCCCCCCAAAAAGTGACTTTGTAATTCAATCAAAACTGTCTGTCCATTTGGCTGTCAGTCGGTCAGTTGTGCGTTTGTGCTCGGGCAGTGAAATGCCTGTATGCTACTCGGAGCGAAAGTAAAAGGCCTTTATGTTCGTTCAGGGGATTCAAATTTTGATTTACTTTCATGCATTTATCTAAAAGAAAAAAAAAATCTGAAATAAATGAGTACATAATTAGTGTGCTTGGCTAATTTGGCTGCTTTGGAATCTCTTATTGTCATAACACGAGGCTACGCCGTCACACAAAACCTGAGTTATTCAGGAAAGAACGATTTAATCCAAAATATTGAGGCCACAAAGGATAAAAGATGTTAAAAAAAATGATGACACAGAAACACGTTTTGCAATCCGAGACAAATTGAAAGACAAAACAGCAGAGCTTTTCAATTGTAGCACATTGTAATCCTTTTAAGCGTCGACGCTGTGAAAAGACGCTCTTTTTTCCAAATCCGGGAGGATGAGGCGCTCTGTTTTTTAACGAAGATGTGAATGTCGGCTGAGACGGAAATATTAGAGCACGTATTCTGAAAAGGCTTCAAGGATAGAATGGGGGACAATCAAGCAGTTCAGACATGAAGATTAAAAAGGTACGACTCGACGGTGGTTAGAAGAAAGATGCCAAAGACAAGGTGAGTGCGTTAGGTTGCAGTTTATTAGCACAAGATGTGGGCAGAGAAAGGCAAGTGTGGGAAAAGGAAGAATCCGGGGAGAGATACCCAACTCAACCAAAATTACCGCGATGCATACATGACTCGGGATTACGAAAGAGAGATGGAATGTAATCAATGCATTTGGAAATATTGCTGAATCAATAAAAGTGACTACTCGACACACCACAGATAAATGCAACAAAACTATGCTTAAAAAAAAAAATTAAAAAAAAACCCTCAAGACTTCTATTGACATTCTTCAGATGACCCGATTGTCAAATGACAGCATATTAAAAGCAGAATTTATTTGGTTCAGGAATTACACCGGCGCAAAGGAAGGAAGAAGTCCACAACTTCAAAACAGCTCACAATTTACGGAAAGGTAATCGACACAAGCGAGCGTGAGTGGCAGCTTAATAAAATACACGCGTTGACAAAAGTCGAAATAATCAGCCAGTGGGGATATTCATCTCGCCGTTCTCTCGACAAGGCGCACCCACCTACGTGTGTGCAAAACAGCCTCGCTACCGGGTGTTGACAGATGAGTCTCACAGCTTTGGTGAATGACTTTGAAAGGTTTCAGACACGCCTTTGAGCGTAGTTGTTGCATGAGTGTGTGTTTGTCTGGTAAAGACTTTGTCCACTGTAGGGGACAAATTCCAGGCGGGTTGATTGTGGCCGACTCCTTCGCACGGGGATGAATGCAGCGTTGGGTCATGTTTAGTTGGGATTATGCGAGTGTGGCTCTATGACTTACATTTATTTGCAACTAAGATCCCAAATAGCGGGCGCACAGATGTAAAAAAAAAAAAAAAAAAAAAGGCCCGCAAAAATAAAACGTTTTTTCCTTGATGCCTCTCATTTCACCTGCGCTTGGTTGGCACCTGCCTTTCACACCCGCAAATTAAAGATGCAAAAAATCAGCCATTTTGACTCCGGTTTGAATACTCTATTTGCAGCTCACACGACTTAAAAAAATGAAGTGTGTGATTTGTAGACGCAGTTCAGGTTAATTGATCAGCTTCCGCGTCCGTTTGCATGCGCATTCAAGCTCGTGTCTCTTTTTGTAAAACTTCACAGTAATCAATCGGACCCTAGTGTATATTTGCACGTGTGCGTGGTGCGCAATCATGTGAACCTCCGACGTTTCTCCATTTGCCGACTGAAGGATGACATTGACAGAAGAGGAGAGTGTCTGTGTAAATGTTGCGGAGGGAAATAGGTGCTTCGAAGCAGAAACAGCTGATGGGCAGTCAGTGTGGCGATGAAGGCGGGATCTAGTCCTCTGAAGCGTTAGGGATTGGAGAGAGAGAGAGAGAGGAAAAAGGGGATTTGGGAAGCCAGGGAAAGAGTTTGGAATGGCAGCAGTTGAAGGAATAATTGAAATGTGTCAAAATAAAAGAGATGGCATTAGAAAAAGCAAAATTGATGTGAAAGTAGGGTAAGAAGGGAATACAGGGGGGCGGGGAGGAAAGAAAGCAATTAGTCAGGTTGCACAAATTCAACAGTCAACAAAAAAGAAAAAAAAATGTCGAACATACATCCGTATTGTTTATTTGCAATATTTGAAATATTTTGGCTCATCGACAGTCACGGCACATCTCAACATGCATAAATACATGCACAGCTGTACTTGCTCTGCCAGCACTCATCTTGTGCTCTCAATTCCCCGATCAAGTAACAACTCACATACAGATTGATTCGATGCACCTTGACAAGGTCAGATGCCTTTTCTATTATTGATGATTTATTAAAAAAACAAACAAACAAACAAACAAACAAACAAAACTAAACAAATATCACTCATACGATAAGTGGAATCCGCTTGGTGAATTCTGATTAACGCCTTCCAAACACGAGCACTACAGCATGCGCAAATACTGTGCAGCTTGGTAACCATGGCGACGCGCGCTGCCCATTCCATCATGCCATGCAAAGCAGCGAGAGATGACAGGCAGGCGACTTAACACTGCAGAACAGTGTCAACCACATTTATCCCTACTGAGGCAGCCGGGAGCCTTATGCACCAAAACGCAGAATGTGAATAAGGCAAAAGCGGCGAGGAGGTCCGTGAAAACCAAAAACCCGGCTCAGGGTATCGACAGTACATCGTTCTCCAAACAGGCTGAGGATCTAACGTGTAAGCTGTCATGTGAAAATGTTGTCTCTCTTATTAATTCTAATTCATTGAAGCTGCTAACGGCGCAAACTTCTCTAAACCATCTGTCTACCCACCCACCCATGCTAATCTGAATTTAGTCAGGACCATGTGTTCGCCAAAACAAGAATTTTAACCAAGCGGACATTCCTTTCACATTGACGACTAGACTGCTGAACATTTCACAGGATGTTATTTTAGTGGAAAGGGGAGTCATGGGACATTTTTTACAATTCCACCATTTTGACCATTTTTTTTCTTTACTGGCAAGTATCGCATCGAGAAAACAAATACAATGTGTAAATATTCCATGTCAAGAGACAAACACAATGGCTTCTCTTATCACTTGCATGGTAGGTTTTTAGTCTGACACAGATACATTGGATTGCAATGGTCTCCGTTGGAAAAGGCCGTTTCGAAAGGCTCGAAACATTGTTTCCCCTCTGTCACACCCATCCTTGATCTCATTTCATCACATCTCATCACTGCTTAACAGTCTGTTCTTTTTTAGGGGAATTCAAAGTCGCAATGACAGCCTTTATTTCAAAGTGAGGTGTTTGTTTTTGTTTTCTTACGTTTTGGTGTCCTTGCCTCTGTTCACACACCAGACACAATAACAGAACGTAAATTTGACAGAATGAAGAGGGAAGTAAACGATCGGAAATCAAGCCAGAGTTGGCATTGTCAGATGCGAGAGTGACTGCCGCAATGTCACTTTGGTGGCAGAGGGAATGTCGCGATCTCTCTTACCAGGCTTTTGCACCCCCTGAGCTTGCTGTTCTCCATTTCCCTGTGCCGTACCTGCGTGTGCACAAATACACATATACGGAAGCACAGAAACAAGCAAAACACATTACTATGCATCGGACTGCAAGTGGCTGGACGATTTTAAAGAAAAAAAAAAAAGAAAAAAATCCCAGGATATGGTGCTGATTTCAGAAATAGAAATATGACTGAGCCTGGAAATAAAGATGAACCACGGACCCTGAAACCACAAGTCCCGTTCCAGTCACTGGGCACAACTACCGCGAGAGGCTGCCAGGTCACTGCATTGGATTTAGCTTTCACGTACTTACGACTCGGAATGAGTTAACCAGGCCGCGAGTCAAAATACCACGTTAAGTGGGGCGGAAATGTAAACGAGGACAGGTGTTACAAGGTCAGGTCTCAGCATCTCCATCTAATGTCAACATTGGTGACTCAGCGGAGCAGATTACCAGGCAGTCGGAATAAGGAAAATCAAATGTGAAATGACAAAACCAAATACAAAAAAAAAAAAAAAAACAAATTTACGCAATACTGTACTGAAAAACCTATTTTTATTTTAGACAAGGCTTTGGCCTGTGCATGCAGTGAGTAGGTGGAGCTTTTTTTAGAGGGGGGCGAAAACGCAAACACATCAGCTAATGGCTGCATGAAACTAAATCCAACCCTTGTAAAAGAAAATTGTGGGTTTGACTTCCCCTTTCATCATGAATGTGGGTCAACTACTTCAAGTAGAATCCATAAAGGTTATCCCGTTTTACACAGTGATGAGCGCAACTTGGAGAAAATAGGCCACGTTCAAGTTCTCAACAACCTGCCACATCTCATGAAGCAAATTAAACCCCATGCAAGGGCACATAGAATCACACAGGGCCATACACAAATGCTTGTGGCACTCATACATACAAGATGTTATGAGTGCATATGAATAAAGGTGAACATTCTTTGCGGTGTACACAAACAACAACAACAGAAAAAAGAAAAGCACTTTCAACATTCAACTTGCCTGCAGACAGAGGACAACAACAGTCAGACTGCCTCACCCTGCTGTTTGGCACTGCCTGTCAGCATGTCTGCATTTGTCCGAATGTGCAAAGCGTGCCAGAGCTGATCACTGGCAACACCACCCACAGCCTGTCCCGTAGCTGGCTGTCACTGACCAGCGCCCACACACAGTCTGACTGTCTGACCCAAGTGTCTGAAGAGCCGCAACGGCCCCGAGAGCTGAGTCATCGCCGGTTGAACTGTCGTTTTGTTTATTTGATAGACTCCGCCTACCTGGCAACATCTATTCATATTTAATGAGAACTCGTAATTAAAGGTAATCCTAGCCATGCATGCAGTCAGTTCCCAGCCTTTTTTTTTTTAAATGTTAAGCACATTTTCAGGAACAAAATATGAAAACACACTGTCCGTTTTAATAACGGATAACATGTAGAAAAGTTGAATTTGATCAAAATTAGAAAGGAGAAAGTAACAACAAGCCACTCCGGGAGCATCATCGCCACCGAAGCATTTGAAGGCAGACATAGTTTGTCCTCAGATTCAATTCAACCCACAAAATAAAAGCTCCACGGAACATTGTGAAACGACGTCAATAACCCGATTGATTTGTACATTTAAACGTAGTGCTGTGTGGAATTTCATTTCAAAAATTGTGTGCAGTGGTCAAAACTCGACCCGATGACCATCTGGATGGTAACTGCTCAGTGCGGGGGACACAACTTGATCGTATAGAAATTTCACCAGCAAGCTAGTATATTCAAAGCGGTGGCCGCTAGTCTGTTTATTCTCAGACTATACACCCAGTGGCTGAATGACATCCAAGCAGATCCAGAATGGCAGCGAGGGTCCAGCAGTGCCTGATACCATCCGTCATTTAAGGGCATCTGCGGTTCATAGAGTATTACATAAAACAAAAAACATCATGCTCGGGGTTTCAAAGGGAACAGATGAGGCTCACTGTTCAGGAAACTTGATTGCCAGATGACATAAAAAGAAATCAAATCTGCAATGCGGTTGCTGCTGTACGTAAAACTGCCAAGCGTCTAAACGTTAACGTGCAGTGTGGGAGAAGTCAAAGGATCAAGCAAATATGAAAACTGCAGTAGTTATTGAACACTAACGTGAACAGAAATGGAGGGAGCGGGTGGATCGAATATAGAATGGTGGCGATATTTAACATGAAGTTTTCATGACACTAAGCAGACAGTACGTAATGGTTGAAATGGAACATGGCCATACGACTGGAATTTGAAAATAAAATAACATTTTATATATACAGGTATATATATATATATATATATATATATATATATATACACACACACATACATACACACGTATACACACAATAACCCTTTTCCACCCAAGACTTAACATTCAACTTTGATGCAGTGAGTCCATGCAATGAGACGCGCTGCAGTGTAAACGGATTTGTCACCACAACATAAGGAAGATGTGAACACGTACGCACTCAGAAATGTATTTCGTGACAGTGAATGTAAATAAAGATAGACATTATGAAGTGTTGCGAGTAATACAATGTATGAGTGAAGCTTAGTGACTTCATCACTATTACATAATATATTCCAGAAATAAAATTCATGCATGGTTCATCAAAAATGTATTTATTCAAATTTGATGTCATATATTTCAAATAATTTGGGATTCATTTATTTTAAATACCATAAAAACTAAAAGCACTTTTGACACACTAAAAATGTACCGTATTAAATAATTGGCAAATTAATTCAATAATACAATTTGAATTGACAATGACTGATTAAAATGTGACTACTAAACATCCTTGGGTATTTTGAAAGGCGCTTATAAATAAAATGTATTATTGTTATTATTATTATTATACAAAAACTTTTGAACTTTACCCATCCTCACCTTTGAATGACCCGGCTCATCTGTCCATTTTAAAGATCAAATCTGGCCCTTGACTACAAAAGTTTGCCTGCTGCCGGTTGAGATGGTGCATATTTCATCAAACTGTATCCGCACCAAAATGTCATCTTGCTATCGGTGAAGAAGTAAACATCGTGATTTGGCCCAGACATTTCCTGACAGGAAAACTGAAATATACCTTTTCTGTTTCTTGTAGCTTTACCTCTGAGGAATCCATCCCCCACTGTCAAGGAGTTGATTGGCTTCAGTTGGCATAGTTTATGGGAACTACAAGCCAAGAAGTCAAACAAGTCGAAAATGGATTCATGTAGTTGATTTATTCTCTTAATGAGAACAGAAGGTGACGTGTGTGTAAAAGTGTGGCGTTTTGAAGTGCCGTTCTTTACGTGAATTGCTGATTGAGAGCAAAGTGAAGCGGGGTGCCCTTGAGAGCTGCCTTACTTCAGGGACTGTCGGAGACTCGAGTCAACATCAGTCAAGCAGCTGAAGCTGATGCGAGGGCATGCACATACACGGCAAGTGAGAGACACTGACAGCTTATGTTGCACGCCGTTCCCGAAAACGCGTGGAGCCGACAAAACGTGACAATGTAATACAATAGCCTCTCGACAGACACACAAATGTACTCTCGTATGTCATGATCTGAAGGCAGATACACAGGCTCAGTGTACGTCCCAAATCATTGTAACTCCTTCCTTTACACAATTTATTAGTTAACGTTTAGCAGCACGCCCTTCATAGTACATACATTAGCTTTTTACATTATTTTGAATAATATTATATTTCCATCCATTCATTTTCTGATCCGCTTTATCCTCACAAGGGTCGCTGGGGGTGCTGGAGCCTATCCCAGCCGTCTTTGGGCAGTAGGCGGGGGACACCCTGAACCGGTTGCCAGCCAATCGCAGGGCACACAGA